GTAAAATTATGCCAATTGTGGCTCCTATGCTTCTGTTGATCAAAGAAAACTAATTAACACACAAGAAATGTGCTGTGATTTATGTGGTTTGTTCTGCTTTAATTTTTTAGGTGCAGCTATCTTCTTTGAATTCAAACACTACAAACCTAAAAAAAGGTTTACCAGCACCAAGTGTTTTGCTTTCATGGAGATGGATGAAATTAAACCTGGGCCAATTGTAATTGAACTGTAAGTGATGTTCATATAGAATTAGTACTAATTTAATGGTGACTAGTGTATCTTTTTTCTTTGTCCCCCTTATCCAGTATGTAACTTTGGGATAGATCAATTATCAAAAGTGTTTTAAACGATGGTCTTTCTATTGTTACAGATACAAGAAACCCACTGACTTTAAAAGAAAGAAATTGCAATTATTGACCAAGAAACCACTTTATCTTCATCTACATCAAACTTTGCACAAGGAATGATCCTGATATGATGAACCTGGAACTTCTGTGAATTTTACCACTCAGTAGAAACCATCATAGCTCTGTGTAGCACATTCACCCTTCCACAGGCAGGAAGTGAGCCGTACCCGTGCCAGTAGGCCAGAGTGAGTCTGTTGCAAAGCTGTCCAACAGAATTCAAAGTCCAGCACATCACTGACATGTAAGACTCCTTTGGATACAGGTTTATTGTAGACTTTGAAACATGTTTTTACTTTTCTATTAATTGTGCAATTAGTAGTCTATTTTCTAATTTACCACTACTCCTACCTTGCTTCCTGGAACAATACTGTTGTGGTAGGGTGTGCTCATCTTCAGACTTAATACAGCAATAAGAATGTGCTCAAGTTTACACATCTGTTCACTTTTGCTCCAGTATGCTCTTTTGGTCTGAGTTAACTTCAAACTTCGGGTTGACGTGGGTAGGATAGTATCAAACTGCTTTGAGAGGAGTTGGACCAATTATGCTGCCTAAGAAGGTCTTCCTGGAAATTTATAGGCTGCTCCTCAGAAGTGGCCTAAATTCACCCTGATCTGATAGTTTTCCTGCTTAGAAACAGTGTGCCTTGGCCAGATCAGTATTCCATATGGGAGTGTTCCCCAGGTTGTAGCTGTGGTATTTTCCAGATGGCCAGATTGTTTTTGTGAAAGTGAGCATATTTTTAGTCATGTTGATTAGCTGCACTTCTACATCACATTGTTATTCTTTCTGATACTGATTCCAGGGTTAACTTTGGAGCCATCTCAAGATAATTACAAATTTTTAGATGGATTTACAATATCCTCTAAGTAATGTAATCCAGAAATAATTGAGTCAGATGCTAACAAGATACTGCAGGCATAACTGCTGTTTTTCTGACAACTGATTGTGAAACCTTAAAACCTGCATACCTCTTCTTATAGTGATGAGTATGCAAAATCTGGAAAGATATTCTATTTTTTTTTATATAGGTAGATAGGATCGCCATTTATTTCCTATTTAGATATATTGACATTCATCCATATGAAAATATGCAGGTCATTAGCTTATTATAATTTGACTATTTACATTACTTTTGACTTTATGGGGCATAAATAAAACTTTCATAGTACACATGAAGTGGATATTTGATACACAGAACATTAAAACTTGTGGTGGGCTTTCTGTGGGTTACATGTAGAACTCACATATTTTATCACTGTTTTAAATGAGCAATGCATGAGGAGAATGCAGTGTCTGTACCTGGCCTATTTTTAAACTAGTGTAATAACCCTAGTCATACCACTCAATGTTTGCTTTTTCAAATAAGTAACCACAATTAAGTTGTTTTAGCCCTTGCATTTCAGGAGCTCTAGTCTTTACTTTCAGTTGTTGGTAAGCCAATTCTGTGTCCTAGATGGATGTTAATAAATAATATATGAGCCTGAAAAAATTCTCAGCCAAATTTAGTCTTGTCTTTCAATCCCTTGATTGGATTAATTCCAGATTCTAAAATGATTCGGTCCACAGTAGCTCTAGGGGATGAAGAATTTGCCTTAATAAATTACTTTGTTGTTCACTCAACTCTTCTGACTACAGGTTGTCAAATCCCCAGACTGTGAGCTCCTTAAGGGGCAAGAACCACATTTTCTCCATGTCATGTAAATTTCCTAAGGTGCTTGGCAGCACTCTGTGCCCTGTGGAGTACTTAGTACCTTTCGTTTGATGTTGCTGACGAGACCTAAAAAATAATCCCTTAAGAAACCTATTAAAATGTAGCAAAACTGATATATCGTTCTTTTTCTTTTCTCATAGACCATAAGACATGTATATCAAAGTGATAATTTATATGAAGACGCATCTGCTATCCTTCATATTAAGTATGGTTTATATGAACGACAAATGCCTTTCATCAGTATTAAAGCAGCTTAAATCGAACACTGTGTGATTAGTTTAGCTTTAATTCCGACCTGAATGAAATGACAAAAGTGATTGTCTTGAAGCAGCTCACGCAGAATACTCCATATCCCACAAATTACGTTTACTTTGCAATGAAAAAACTCAGCCATTGACATTAACTACTAATACAGTAGAAAAGTGCTTTCAGGCTGAAATATTGCTGCTTCATAAATGAGATAATTTTAGCAACTAAACCCAGAAACACATTTAGCTGAAGATGACTTCTGAAGTAGATGTAACTTCTGAGACGGAAAAGTCTGATTTAACAGAGGGACGATGTTCCCTGCACCATCTGTATATTGGCAACTTGCCTTGGGCTTTGCTACAGAAGCCGTACAATCAGACGGATGGGAGAGGAGGCAATTCTGGACTGGTTCAGAGCTGCTCAGATAAGGTACACTGGAATCTCTGTATCTTACTGATTTTTCAATGGTATGAGATACAGAATAAACACAAAAAAAGGCCTTTGGCTGGGCGCGGTGGCTCACGCCTGTAATCCTAGCACTCTGGGAGGCTGAGGCGGGCGGATCGTTTGAGCTCAGGAGTTCCAGACCAGCCTGAGCAAGAGCGAGCCCCTTTTTTTCTAAAAAAAAAAAAAAGAAATTGGCCAAACTACTAAAAAAAAAAAAATAGAAAAAATTAGCCGGGCATGGTGGCGCATGCCTGTAGTCCCAGCTACCTGGGAGGCTGAGGCAGGAGGATCGCTTGAGCCCAGGAGTTTGAGGTTGCTGTGAGCTGGGCTGACGCCATAGCACTCTCTAGCCAGGGCAACAGAGTGAGACTCTGTCTCAAAAAAAAAAAGGCCTTAGAAAAATACTCTAGTTTTGAATTTTAAAAAGATTTAATTTACCTTCCTTCCTTACCTGCCTAGCTGGCATATATACTTTTTTGTTTTTGTGGTAGAGAGAGGAGTCTTATTATGTTGCCCAGGCTGGTCTCAAACCTGGGAGTGATCCTCCCACCTTGGCTTCCCAAAGTGTTGGGATTACAGGCATGAGCGCCACTTGGACATACTCTGTATTTAAATGCTATTTAAAATTAGAAATTATATTAGCTTCACCATTGTTTTGTATTCTGAAGAGGTTAACAGATTATTCAAAAGTTGTTTGTGACTAAATCTCATTTTACGCTGTTAAAGATGGCCTATGCTATTCTATGGAGTTTTCCTCTTAATTTCTTCTATTCTTGATATTAAATGGGAGCACATGTAGACTGAATTCTCTTCCTAAAGAATTTATATATTCCTTATGAATTCTGAAAGTTGTTTTCTTTCAAAGGTCCTTATCTTTCCAAACTACTATCTTCAGTAGTTGAGTATAAAGAGAAAATTGTTTCACACAGAAGCTTTTGCTCCTTTCTACAGGGTGTTCTTAATTGGTTATCACAACAGTGACAAGTCATGCTCTAGGTTTCAATCATATACATCATAGAAATTCAGAGAATGGAAGAATATGGCTAGCAGTAACAAAAGAGTGAGTCTTTTATGATTTTGATTTAATGTAAATCTTAAACTTCTTAAAATGTGCTATTAAAATTACTGTAATTAAAATGTCTTAAGACTTAGTTCTTAGAAACATTGTTTTAAAGACACTGTAAAAAAATAAAGACAGTGTAGTAGTAATGGGTATAAGACTTTAAGTGTGGTGCAATTCCAGATTCTTAGATTTACTGATTTTTAAATAAAAGCACCAATGTTCAAATATTAACTTTGGAATACTACCTATGAAAAAAAAGAACCAAGTTCCGCCCATGGTTGCTGACCTAGGGCATGTTACAAGCCTTACAGCTCTAAATTATTCCTTCTTATGGGTTTATACTCTTCTAATCTGTATGCCATATTCCTTAAAAGTCAGTGGCAAGGTATGGGAAAGATGAAAAGACTGTGTACATTTTTTAAAAGAAATTTCTTTTTATGGTCATGACATTTTCATTTTTCTGTAACGCACCCTACCACACGAATGGGTAAAAGCAGTAGAACATAAGGTCAAGTAATTGCTACTCCTGTAGACTCATACACAGAAAACCATTCTCAAATCGACAAGGAGGGTCATAAGAAAGCACATGAATGCTACACAGGTGGGACCACTGACCTCTCTGAAATAAAAAGAGATCACTTGGTGAGTTCAGAGGTGACGGAAGTTGAACCCCTTTAGCCACAAGCAACATGAAGTGTGCTGCCAAGACACCGTCTTCAGTTCTGGGAGCCTGAGTTCATGTTTCCCAAATGGTACAAGCCTCGAAACAATCCAATAAATCAACAGACGCTTGGGAAATATTAGTAAATTTTTATGAACTATTACTACAAAGAACTTCAGCAAGAGGGGAATAAAGTTTAGTGATCTTTCAGTAAACACGTTTAGCGTAACAGTCTTAGCGACTAGATATTTAAAAAAAAAATCAAGCTTATAAACACCATTGTTCTGTATTCAACTGGTGTACACTAAAAATAGGATAATGGAAATACATGTTCTTAAAGCATTTCCACAGGAAATGTTCGTATTTTTCATGACATTCTAAATCACTCAGCAATTACATATGGTACATCAGCTAAAACACAGGTATTCTTTATTGCACATTTCAAAGTTGTAAGGATGCACTAGCTTAAGAGGTGATTTTTATTTAAGGGGAAAATGATATTTTTTAATTGGCTCAAAAATGCACACTGCCAAGGCAGCTTAGTTCTAAAAACAAACCTTTTAAAATAAACTTTTGGATTTTGAAGCCAATGAAATCCTTTACTATAATGAACAGTGAGTGCACAGTCCACTTCCTCTCCAGCTGAACGTCAGAGGCCATAGTTAGGGGCTCTGTTTTAAAGCTTGTGAACAGTCCTGGTTACTGCTCTGAGAGGCAGGTGGAGGCTCATCTCTAGAGCCTGAAGGCGGTAAGTCTCTTGCAGCAGGTGGTGGTGCGTAGTCTTGGGGGGGATGGGTTGGGGGTGGTAGTCGGGTACCCGGAATAAAGTACTCTCTTGGACCAAGAGAACCTAAAGGTCTAAATGGTGTGTGTCCTGGTAAAAATTCCCGAGGATCAAGAGGCAGGTCCCGTTTTCCAGGTGGAACGCCTGCTGCATATTCTCTTAAGCCTAGCGGTGGACGCATACCAGGACCTGGAAAACAGAAGTTCAGTTATGTAAATACATCTAAATTAAGATGGTTCCAAATACATTAATATAGTCTTATTTCTCATAACCCTAGAAATTAAAGGAGTGCCCATCTTTATAGTGAGGCAAACTGAGGTTCAGCAAGTTTAAGATACATGCCTGTGGCCAGCCTGCCATGAAGCAACACGGGCTCTACCTAGTTCCAGACTTGTGTTTTTTCCACTACACGATTTTGTCATCTTTATCTCAAGAACCTGGTTTGGACTTGGAAGTACTATATACCATACCAAGAAGACTAAGAAATAGGGCTTCATTGCAACAAAGAAATTTTGACAAAGGAAATTCCATTGTGTTACTGTAGCAGTTAAAACTTCATGCAGTATCTCAGCGTGGACCTAACATGTGCCATTGAGATCAAGGTGTCTGCCCTGCTGGATAAGGCCTTCCAGTTCCAGTTAATTAAATCCAGCAACATTGATTAGGTAGCTATTAAATTCTATAGTCTCTTTAATAACTCCCTTCCATCTATTTCCAAGGTGAGGAGTGAGGGTTTAATCTTTCCTTTTTTTATATTGTGACCCACTGCTTATGCTTCCATTATGAGTGATTGAAGAATTTAGTTATCTATGACCTACAGGACATCTTAAGTTAGGAGATGTCTCTTATTTACCTTTCTATTTATTACAGAGCCTAGTATGTAGCCACAGACGTTCAATAAACATCTGCAGAAGTAATATTTTTGGCTTTCTATAAATGGCCCCTTTTCTTGTCTATAAGAGACAGCTATTGCCCATCTCATTACACGGAGATTATGCAGCACTTACATGTCCTAAGAAATGTGGGGAAAAGTACTAAGTCCAGTTTATTCCTGCATTGCAAAGCCCTGCAATTACAACTGTTTTAGCAAGGAATAGAAAGAAAAGATGAATATGCTTTACAAGTCAATTACAACTTTTCAGATCATCATACCGAATGGTGGAGGAAGTGGCCTAGGCCCAAATGGCCCACAGAGCTGAGGAGGTGGTCCATATCGAATGGGTGGTGGTAGAGGGCCTCCCACTGGGGAGCTCACGAGAGGCACCCCTGGGTAAGGAGGGGGCCCTTTTGTAGCCATATTAACCTGCAGAGTGGAAGCAATTAAAGTTTTGAAATACTTTGGTATGACAGACAAAAGCACCAACACTGGTAAAAGCTAAAACCCAATGAAGCAAATGTCAGGCAGCTGTCCAAAGAGCAGAATCGGAGCAACGCAACACTACCCTCCCACTCGTTCCCCGGTCAGCTTACAAAAATTAAAAGTATGCGTGAGAGTGAGCAGTTTCGCTATAATCATATTACTGCACATGAATGGAAAGGAAAGCAAATAAGGACTGTCAAAGGTTATTAACGGAGGTCACTGCATACTAACATAAAAGTTATACCATACAAATCATTATTTATAAGGCAGTCCCTCCCTCTGCGCTCCCTCTCATCACCACAATAGATGATTTCCATGTTAAGAACACAGAATGAAAGGTAATGAAAAATCCATTCTCTACACATGTAATAGCTACTATTCAGAGTACCTTCAATAGGCCTTTCATATATTATCTCGAATTCTCAGATCTCTAAATCTCTAATAGGATCATCTTGTTCTAAATATGAAGGAACAGAGGCACAGGGAGTATTAGATAATTGGCTGAAGGTCAACACGGCATGTTAAGAGCCTGAGCTGGGATTCAATACCAGGTTTGACTCCAAGCCCATGTTCTTTCCACCTCTGCTTCTCCTCTCTAACATAGGGGTCTCTACTCTCTGTGAAGTCTACTTTCAAAGGAGTCTGAAATAAGATCTCTCAAGAGATGTTTATTCCTGGAGTCCTGTGCTGGAACTTGGAAGTATTTTCCAACAGAAACAATGTTATTTACACAAATTAGGCAGGCACAACTCTAATGCTTACCTTCTTTACCAGTAATATTGTCTGAGATATTGCCTAATCATTTCCTATAAGAAACTGGGTTGCAAACTCTCAATATTAAACTTATTTTGATTTCAACATAGAGAAGCACTGTCAGGTATGATCAGAGGACTTACCAACTATAACAGCTACATAAGTTATAAGAAAATACACTTATGTGAACATAGTTTAAGGACATTGCTGGAAACTGGCTCAATGGGTAATTACAGACTTTCACTATTCAGTCAGTATTTCACATCTAGCAAACATTCTTCTGTTATTCATCTGTAATTTCAGATCATTCAAAATAGGTTTGCCTAGTATACAAGTGTAGGTATTCTTAAATAGCATACTTCCAAATAAAGATATAACAATATATTATGCAATTTATAATGAATTTATTTGCCTAAGAGCATTAAGTAATAAAGCACACAAGGATGACTTTTCACATTTTTTAGTTAATAACAATTACAGCAGATGCTCTAAACATGGTAATCGTCTAACTGAAACAGGAAAGAGGAGAAAAAAACCAACCAACCAACCAGATTTCAGCAACACTCCCAAGTTAAGGTCAAAAGTAAGATCGATCGCACCATCCACTTTAAAGCAAAGATTAGTGTCATGCTCCTCAAATCCTGGCCAGAAATACACCAAATGAAAGCCCAGTCCAGGCCTCAACTTCCAAACACTTACAGCTACTGGGTGCTCAGCCGAGGATGCACTGCTGGGGACTGAGGGGCCTTCAGGCTCTTGGAGAAGAGTTTGTTTTTTAAAAAATAAGTGAGACAGTACAGATATGACAGAACACACAAACAGGAGATGAGGCAAAGAGAGAGTGTGCAGGAAAAGCTACATGTCCCTGAAACACCTAATTATAATTCACAATGACTGAATTTTACCTTGCCCTCATCCATCACCTTAGTGGGGGAAGAGTTTCTTGAGCTGCTGTTCATCATGGCCGCTGTACCGGATCCTAGATCTGTTAAAAGCCAGAGAACTGATTTAGACTTATTCTAATTTGTATACTCTGTGAGGAAGATAAAAAATTCCTCTACCCACTTCCTCCATGGTTTTAGACTCTTTGAACACACTTAGGTCCCTTACCAGAGGCAGGAGGTTTCCCAGATGCCTCAGATGACCATCGGGGACGAGGTAGAGGCCCATCCATTGACCCTTGAGAAAGAAATTAACAGAGTCCTTAAATGTATTTTTCAGAAGAAATAAACCAACTGTGGACAGGTCAGGTTCAATTCTACCTAGAAAGCAACATTAAAATGGGTCTCCCAATACATACATATGAAGGGAAATCACTTATAATTTAGGCATAGACTTAAAGAATTAAAATAAGAACTGTCTTGGATTGAAAGTACAATAAACCCTGCACATTAATAGCATTGGTTCGACACTCCAAGCTATAGACTTGATATAATTCTACAGGCTGATTTCTTTCAGTCAATACGTAATATGATTTCCATATCTGACCAATTATTTGATATATTTAGGATTCAAAATAGATTTACAGCATTTCATATTATAGTAATGAGAAATGGAAATACGTATGCTGCATAAACTGTAAAGTTTTAAGGCTCCTTTTATAACACAGCTGACCCTTGAACAATGTGGGTATGCTGACCACCTTCCCAACCCCACAACCTCTGCACAACAGTTGAAAAGCCACATGTAACTTCTGACTCCCCTAAAACTTAACTATTAATACTAATAGCCTACTGTTGATCAGAAGGCTTACCGATAAGTTGATTAACACATATTTTGTATATGTATTATAAACTGGATTCTTACAATAAAGCTAAAGAAATGAAAATGTTACTAAAATTGTAAGGAAGAGAAAATATATTTATGGTACTATACTAAAATTGTAAGGAAGAGAAAATATATTTACAGTACTGTAAGTTTATACTGTGTACCAGATGAACTGTCTGAAATGGTAGGAAACCACAGCTACAGACTTCAACCTACAGGACATATCAAGCAAGTCAACATTTTCTTGTAATGTCACAACTTTGCTTCTTCAGAAGCACTTATGGCATCAATAGAGCCACGTCATATGGGTCCCACAGTGTTACTCAAGGTTTGTGTTACTGCATTAGCATGATGAAAAACACACAAGAACCATGAGAGATCTCTTTGTACTGTGATGTGCAGTTTACTGAAGGAATGAACTGCTCATGTGGAGATGATTAGTGTCGTAAGGCATTTTAAGTGAATACTTGCAACACTTGACAAGCTCACAGCAATAGCAAAAGGAAGTGGCTATGGAATTATTATTATAGTAGTACAATATGTATGACAGCTAATTTTATGCAGTTATGATTTAATACTGCATTTTTATGTTTGTTTACATTTCTCACAACTGCAAATAGCACCTTGTATGCTCTGTGTGCATAAGTTTCGATAAATTTTAACTTTTTATAATAAATGTGTACTTTTATGATAGTAAATGATAAAATAGACTGGTATCCATATATTTTATGCGTTCATGACATACATTTTTCTTCATTTTTTTGATATTTCAAGGCTATACTATTTGCGAGTTTTTCGAATTGTTGCAAATCTCCAAAAAATTTTCCAGTATGTTCATTGAAAAAAATCCACGTATATATGGACCTGCACAGTTTGAACCCATATTGTTCAAGGGTCAACTGTATTTGGAAGAGGAATCCCACAGCATTTTAATTTTAAGATGAAGGTTTATACTTTACAGTAAAAAATCTTAAAAAAAACAAAAAAGAAAGGAACCTCTGAGAAAATAATACATGCTTTCTTTTCTAAAGCAGATCTTGCAGTAGACTATTTATCCACCAAGACAAATTAAGAAATCTTCTTTTCTATACTGGACAGACCCAAATTCTAAAGTGTTGTTTACATTAGAATTTTCAAATAAAACAGAAAAAACCCTCCTGCAAACAGTTTATTGCAAGGTAACATTGCGAATGCTCACCAAATTCACTTCTAGGCACATCTCTTCGATTGAGAGTAGCAGAGAGTGGTCTCCCAGGCGGCTCCACCATCAGTGGAGGGGAGCACTCACCACCACTCACGGGGGACGGGCCAAAAGAGCCATTCTGGCTCAGAGCACCTGAAGATGACAGTGTCTGGTTACCACTTTAAGACAGCCTTTTTTTTCTTTAGTAAGTTCTTGGGATTATTTCTAGGACATCGTAACTATCATACACAGAAATAAAAAGTAATTTATATACATTTTACACCAAAAGTAGGTTTCTAGTAGATGTCTGCCTCTTACAAAGTGTTCCCTTACCTCTCCTTGGAGGGTTTTGTGTATTTGGTCTTCCTGGCATTGGTTTTATAATCACAGGTTCTTCTTGTAGCATTGCCATTTTTTGCGTTAATTCTAATATTCTTGAATATAGAGAAAAAATGACTTAAATATGAAATAGAAATCAATCCCTTACCAAATACCACATAGCATAGCCTTAAAAAAATTCTAATATGTACTGAAAACACACATATCAAAATCACATACTTGTGTCTCAAGTTGGCGGCTTCCCTTTTCTCTTCAGCTATAGCTCTTTCTGCAGCACGAGCTTTGAGCTATTGGAGAAAAAGTATCCAAATTCAGTTGTGGTAGACTATGCACAAAATAAAGGAAAGGAAAAAAAATCTTACCCAGTTATCATGAGCTTTCTTCTCATGAGTAGCAATCTGGAGAAAACAATACATTAAAAAATATACTTAGGGATTCATTATAATAGCCATTACAATAGCCTGTATTAGTTACCAAAGAATTCTACAACTGTAGGGCATTATAAGTATTACCTGGTTTTTAAATGAGCGCTCTGTTTTCTGTAATTCATCCTCCATTTCTTCAATTCTCCGCCTAAGAATTGCACTTGGTTTTATCAGTTAAAGCACAACTGAATAAAATTTCAAACAATCTGACTATGTTACCTTTATTCTGACAACTGTACTGTGACTTCATCCATATATGTAAAAACATATTTTACATGGTTATGATAAGAGTACAACATGACGAAAACTAGTACTACCTGATTTATCATTTAACAGCTGGAGATTCTGAGTTGATAAATCATAATTTCCTTAACTATTCTTTAGTATGTTCTCAAATAGTCCTGCTATGAATATCTTCCTCTATAAAGCTTTTTTTCTTCCTTTAATTATATCATAGAAAATTTCCCAGAGTTAGAACTACTGGGTCAAATGGCTCAATCATTTTAATGGCTGTTGATACATCATATAACAAATTGCTTTCTTAAAGAATTACCACAATATACAACCACTAAAACTGTTTGCATGAACCAAGTTCTGTTACAGTCTTGTCAGCATTTGGGTATAAGTTTTTGTTAACATTTTTTCATTTATTAACTTAAAATTTAGTTTTTCCCTTGTGTGAACTGAACGTATTCATGTCCTCAGACCATTTATTTATGGTTTTGTGCTATTTTCGTCAACACAATGTAAAAAGTTAAAAAAAAAAAAAAAAAAAAGAAAAAGAAAAGCCAACCATTTTATTAGCTGCTAACACCCTCTTTAGAAGCTGAACTCACTTGTAAGTTTTTACTTCTTCTGCAGCCAAAACTGCCTTTTCATCTGCAGCTGACAGCCTCTGCTCTCTTTCTTGCCGCTCATACTCTTCTTGACTCAATTTCCTAAGATAAAACCAGTTGTCAGTGAAAGTGTTTCTCTTTCCTCCCTCCCGCTATTCAAATATCACTTCCCATTCTACTCTCAAAAATGCACAGACAATGTTATAGGAAGAAATTCAAACTGCCATTTAGGGATAAAAATCAAACTCTGGCTTGTTGGCAAATCATTGCATTTTCTAATAATTCTCTACTCACTAGTAAATTAAAAAAATGTAAAAAATATTGCGTGCCCCATGGCAAGTCTCTTGTACCTGAGATAATGAAAGCTCACTTTACTTCAATGTGCAAAGCTAGAACTGATAACTAACACAATTAAGTTTATTAGGATAAAGCCGGTGATAATTACTTCTCTTATTTCTAACCATGGAAAAGACCACTAATTTATTTTCTTATTTTGTCATGGACAAACTGAAGTGAGATTTTAGCATACTGGAAAATAGGTCAGAAGAAAACATACAGAATGAAGCAAATTCAGACAGAATGTAGGAGACATGGGGGCGGGGGGTGGAGTCCAAGTTGTTTAAAATTGGAATCTCAGGAAAAGAGAGAATGACGCAGAATTAATATGCAAAAAAGGATCCCAAAATTCAAGAGATGTCTATGACCCCAAACAGCATAAATGAGAAAGAGAGAGAGAGAGAGAGAAGCAAAAACCCTACACGTAAGCATCTCCCAATAAAACTGCTGAAAAACCAGAAAGAAAAATGACTAAAGGCAGCTAAGGCAGGGGTGAGACATTTGAAACAGAGAAAATAAGAATGATAATGGATTCCTCAAAGAAACTTTAAAAACCAGAGGTAAGTAGTTGGTTACCTTTAAAGTGCTGAAATTAAACTGTCAAATTCTATAGCCAGCAGAAAGATCCTTTAAAAATGGAGTCAAAATATAGGCATTTCCATACAAAAATAAACTTATTAAATCTGTCACTAAAGGATATTCTTCAGGTAGAATGAATGTGATCCCAAATGGAAGGCCAAAGATGTGGGAGAATGAAGAACTGCAGGAGCTGTAAGTATGCATGTAAATTAAATGAGTATCGGTGGGACAGCACTGTAAAGGACAATAAAACCTCTCGTGGAGTCTGAGCTATGTAGAGCATTATAATACATTACCATAATAGCATTGAAGTCAGCAAGGAGTTAAAGCCCAGAAAGAGGTAAATCTATTCATTTATATCAGACTTCTTAGTAAGTCCAGGATACATGCTGTGGTCTTTAAGGTAATTATAAAAAGGTGAATAAAACAACCTAAAACTACCAAGCTTAAACAGAAGAAGAAAAGAATTTAAAATATTCAAACAGTTCAAAAGACAGAAAAAAAGAAAAGAAGGAACACAGAAGAACAGGCCAACAGAGAGCAAATACCAGTATTTAGATTTAATCCTAAATATATATTTAGGAGTTATAGAAAAAAAATGAGTACTCAGTCTGTATGGCTATCTATTTATTTCTGCTCACTCCAGAAAAAATGTGAATCAGCATAAATATCTGAGTGGGAAGGAGATTGCTAGGTGGAAACAATGTTACTGCAGAGAAAACAGCATAAAGACAAAGAGGCTTAGAGTGGCAAGGGGGAACCACCATCAGTGTGCAGTTCAGGAAGCATGAGAAGCAGCTGCAGGATATGCGTCTGGAGAGGAAGCTCAGGATCAGCCGAAGGGAATGGCCTCTGGACCTGCTAAGGAGTCTGGAATTGATCTTGAAGGGATTGGAGCATCTTTGATAGATTCTGAGCACACAATGACACGGAAAGACTTGTATTTCAGAAAGTTCACTCTAGCAGCTATAGAGAAAATTAGAGTTAAGAAGAAGTTATATAAGAAAGTGGGACTAGAGGTAGGTAGTTAGTTAGGGGACTGGCAACGAAGATGACGTGAGCCTGAACACAGTGGCTTTTGGCATGGACAGCAGAGTACAAACCAGACATGATGATCAAATAGATGTTGGGAGAGTTGAATAAAACAGTGACATATTGTATCATAAAGAAAAACAGTTGCTATTTAGGTAATTCAGATTACTACTGGTGGCAGAGAAGTCTTCTTTAAAAAGTAGTAATGAAATGAAAAATGTTTCTTTGAATCAAGCGAGGCATTCGGAGCTGGCCTGAACAAAATCTGGAAAATCTAAACTGGCTGCTCAGTGAGCACAGAATTAGAGAAAAATTTAATGGTATCATTCAGTATTTAATGGCATCAGGCGGCAGCAGTCTAAGCATTTAAAAAAGATTAGATTTGCTTAGCGAGACAGGCCTTTTCACAGATTGCCACATACACTGGCAAAGTATAAGAGTAAATAAAAAAGCAACTGGCACAGATAACCTATTTTTAGAGAAGTCAGATATTTTTGTGGGGAAATAAATTAAAATAAACTACAAGAATATATCTTTAAAAGATACATAGCTCCAAATTTGAGATGTGTATTTCAGAAGATTAGTACCTACTTATACTCTCCAAACAAGTATTTCTATATTCAAAATTCCTAACATCCTTGCCACAATTACATTGTTATGTTCATTCTCAATATTTGACTAGAGTCCAAAACTGATGATACTCTCAAAAACTAAATATACCTTTTGAAGTTTGTAGTCTACTAAAAACCATGTCACATAAAAACCACACAGAATTTTTAAAGAGTATCTTAAGAGCCAGTGAAACAAATGCAAGAGAAATCAGAATTACGTAAATGACCACAAAGAAAGAAAAGTAAGTGTGGAGCCACAGGAAGGGTACAGATCTGAAAAAAGAAGCACTTCTGCAGCAGTAACAGCACAAGTAAACTACTCCCTCTCGAATGAATTACAGGCAACAATTTCTGACAACTGGTTTGAACAGGAAGAAAAACAAATTACGAGAAATGAGGCAGAAAAGACAACAAATCTATACTACAGAAGGCAAAACTTGTAAATAATCCTAAAAAAAGGTAAAATTATCTATATTAGTACACACATTTAGTCACACAACAGTATCAACAATGAAAACCTTACTTTTGCAGAGCCATCTCCTTCTGCTGATAGAGTTCATTCAGAATCTCCACTTTCTGCCTCAAGGTTTTACATTCATCTTCCAGTCTAGCTTTAGAGGACTGCAGTGAATTACGGTCATCTTCTAATTTCTTTATTTGGTCTGTAAAGGATAAAACATTTGCACTCCATGTGTGTGCACAGGACTTGAGAACTTGGTTGGGAGGTGGTGCTGAGAGGAGTGAGAAGTATGAAAGCAGAAAGCCATTCTTTAGCTTTCCAGTGCAATTTCATATCTTTCCAATACATGGCAACTTCTGAAGAAGTAACCTACCTTCCAGGTCACATTTAGTGGACATCGAGGCTCTCAGCTTAGATTGTAAAAGTTTTAGATCCTCTTCAACCACTGATACTGCAGTTTCTGTCTAAAAATTGCAGAAGAAAGAAGTATTCTTAAAAGTGAGGCATAGTAAGAATACACAGGCACTTACAGGATTCTAAGAAAGGATTATACCCAAGAGACATCCATCATCTGCTTAATTTGATTTTTCATCTTCTCATTCCGGTCACCTATAAAACAAAAGGCTTTAATTGCTTTTTCTTCCCTTGCTTTTTATTAACTCTATATTTTCTTGATTTCCCCGAAACTAAACAATTATGTTCAAACATTGAAAGAAAAAACCAAAACCAACAGAACTGATGAGACTAACTGATTTTAAGAGAATTGCTTCTACTGGGATCTTCATTTTTTAAAGAAAAAAAAGAGAATTACAAACTTAAGTTCAATAAGTAAACTCCCACTTGTACAATAAAAATGTTATCCATGCCATTCTGACCAAGGAAAACTATGTGAGATAAAGCTCTCTCTTCTCTCTCAGATCTCTCTCTACCTGGGACAAATGTCTTATTTCAAAAGATTCACTCCTGTTCTCTCCCAGGTGTGGTTCAAAAGTGTGGTCCCCAAATCCCAAACCACAAACCAGTACTGGTCCATGGCCTAATGGGAAGTTAGCCACACAGCAGGAGGTGTTTGTACAGCTGCTCCCCATTGCTCGCATCACTGCCTGAGCTCCACCTCCTGTCAGGTCAGTAGCGGCGTCAGATTCTGCGTTGTGGTGAGTTGTATAATTATTTCACCATATATTATATTGTAATAATAATAAAGTACACAATAAATGTAATGCACTTGAATCATCCTGAAACCATCCCCTCCCCTTTCCCCTGTCTGTGGAAAAACTGTCTTCCATGAAACCAGTCCCCGGATGCCAAAAAGGTTGGAGACAGCTGGTTTAAAACACCTACTATTGCAAGCAATATCCAACTTGAGAGACAGTGTCTAGAAGCATTTCCCCATCAGTAAACAATGGTACCCTCTAGTCTCCACTCTCATGGCCTTAATTTATGGCTCTAACCACCTCAGTATTCTATAAACTGGCTGTGGGACCTAAAACCACAGAGCTACAGAAATGATAAGTATTAAAATTTAATCTTCATGAAGTTGAGAAACAAGTTCCTACTACCGTATGTGTTTAACACTTAGAGGTATAAGACCCAAGCAGCGCAGCTCCAGTGCACTCAAGTTCTCAGTGGAATGGAAACATAAAGTCAGTGTTCTTTGTATGCCTACTGCTATACCCACACCCAGCAACCCACCTCAGCCCAAGGTAAATAGTGCAAACATATACACTAATCCAGTGATACCTGCCTTCAACTCTAAAGCTTAAGAGGAAATTCAACCAGCTGGTAAGTAGCATCGGTGTACTTAATTAAAGACAAGAAGTCAAAAAGGGGTCCATCTCGCCTGAGACTGATCTTACCTCCCACTTCTCCATTTGCTAATTCATCTGACTCATTTTCTCCTTTATTGTGACCCTCAGATTCAGATTCACATTCACACTCTAAATGATTCAACTGTGTAATACAATTAGTCAAAGCCTAGAAAAGAACAAAAGGGTATTGATAAGAGCCTCTCACTTTTAACTGAACAGATTTCATGAGAATTCATAAGAATTGAGCATGTATTCATGAGAATGAACTTACATTAATATTATCATCTTTGTGACTAAGAGCTCCTTCCAAATCCTTCTGAGACTTCTCAAATGATTTGATTTGCTCACTGAGTTCAGCATGTGATTTACTCCAGTCTTCAATTTCCTGCTGCAACTGAAAAGTAAAAACATGTGATTCACACAGTTACAGCTTTTGCACTGGAGACATTAGGGCCATGGCCTGTCACTACAGGTTAAGACCTCAGTTAAGGGTGGTCCCAACCCATAGAGCTGTCGTGCGAACATCAAAGCTATCAAGGAAGTTGATCCAGGTTATTGCATCCTTTGGAAAACTACAGTCAGTTCAAATAATTCATGTCCAGTAGGAATAGAAGAACACATCCTACTATCTCCCAAGTCTAGACTCCTGATCATGTAACCTTTCCTTGGCTAGTGAAGCAGTAATTGCTCAAAGAAGGGTAATAAAATATTTAATTCTTAGATCTAAAGAGCCAATCCATTGCCCCCGAGGCTACTTATGTTAGTAGTAACTGGGTGGTGTTTGATAAAACAGGCTAAACACTCTAGTAACTATAATAAACCATACAGAAGACAGAAAATCCAGAATAGAGAGTATATACATATGCCCAATTTGGGGAGCAGTTTAAACTTTGCATATCTAAGAACAGAATCCTGCACGCATATTTCACTACCTTAAAAGCAGATCTGAGAAAAGATATTCACGAAGTAGTGACATTGGGGTCTCTATTTTATATGACCCAGGACATGAACTTTTCTTTACCTGCTCTTTCTTCTTCTTAAGCCTAGCATTTTCTTCTTGAACCCGATGGCATTCAGATTTCACCTTCTCTTCGCTAAGCTTAGCTTCATTAAGTGCAATTTGAACCTAATGCAAAACACTCCTATCAGTGAATTAATTCCAAAGAAAAACAAAAAAAAGGTACGTTTTCGCAAGCAGACATCATGTAGTTTTCATTTTTTGCATGTTTTAGCACACATGAAATTGTGGCCCCTCAATAATACTAAAACATAGTATTAATATCCCGCAGGAATCGTAAGTAGCTTTACCTCTGAAAATTCTGAGGCATTCATTGAAATAACATTCTTTAACTTCTCTATAGATTTCTTGTTTTCCAGTATCTGTCATGTGAAAACAGAACGTAAAACACGTATTAGGACTTCAGCAGAAACACTGGGATATGCTAAAAAGAAGAAATACTAACAAAACATATCCCAGAGCCATGGTCTGTGTTTCAGATAAAAGTAGGTGATCCAGTTTTAGTCTAAGGGAAAAATCAAGAACTTTAAGAGATAAGGGAAAATAATTGAAGGCATAAATATTTCATGGTATCTACAACCTTCCTACTTAGGAAATAATGTAGTAGGTGACCAGACAAAAAGATGAAAGCAAAGAAAATGAAAAAACTTTCATTTAACCAGTTCAAATCAATGGTTTTTCTCCTCGTAGTGGAGAAAAAAAAATCCCCAAGGTCACTTTAAAAATTCTCTTGCCTGAATTAAAAATCGTAGTAAGGGAGACAAAATATAGACAAATCTCACATGGATGAATTTCAAATAATTTATGAAGATACTGGCTCTTTCAGGAGGTGGAACATAACTCAACTTTTTGACTGTGGGCTGTGCACAGTTAAGTTCCTTTCAAAGAGTACAATTTGCAAAAGGTAAAAAAAAAGAAATAATTTTACAGTGGGGAAACCTGGCAAATCCTACCTTAATGAGATTATCAAGCTTACTTAGGTATTGGTTTATGGGAACCCTCTCTACTATCTTTGCAACTTTCATGTAATTCTAAAACTATTCTAAATTTAAAAAGTTACTGAAAAAAGAACTTTGCAAAGCAAAGCAAAACAAAAGGGCTGTTCAAACTGGGTTACAATTTCTTAGTTATTCTCTATGTTTCAGAGGGCAGAGCCAAGCAATGCGAAAATTACCAAGAGTGGAGGACAAAAATACTTCCTAGGCCCATAATAACTTGTTGTATTAGTACTTAAAATTCCACAAAAATGGACAGAAGTAGGTTCAACTTCCCAGATTCCCACTCTTACTTTACTTAACAGAATGGAAAATAGAGTTAAACTTATTCAATCTACAAAGTAGTTCAAAAGCCAAATTATACTAACACTTTAGCAGCAAAACTCTTACCAAGTCCTGATTCTTGACATTCTGTTCTCTCTCAGATTCTAACATAACACGAAGACTTTTAGCTGTGCCATCCAGAGATTCATTAGTTTCTTCAAGTCTCTTGATTTTATCCTATAAAAAAGATACTAAGATTAGTAATACTCAATATTTTTACTCTTGTTTTTAGAATGTAATCCCCAAAAGGAATTTTTACCTTAAATTTAATTGCTTCATCAGAGAGAATCATATTTTGTTTCTTGGCTTCCTGAACATGTTTCTTTGATTCCTTGATCTATATAAAATAAAGCATTCAGAATTCAGAATTATACATTATAGTGCTACCAAAACTTATTTTCAAGTGGGTGACCCCTTACATAAGAAAGTAGTACTTTACACGATTACTTAAGATTTGGATGATTTGCAGGAAATCATGGAAGAAAATATGATTTAAAAATAACATAATCAGTGAACAATAAGACAGGTGAAAATAATTCAAGCTGGAACCATGGGGATAAAAGATTGAAAAAATAATTATACCTTCTGCTCATAATTTGACAATTTTTGAACAAGTTCTGCATTTTCTTTCATGATAGTCTTCAACTTCTCAGAAATTTGCTGTTCAGTGACTAAAAAAAGAAAAAACAGAGGTTATTATGATCACTAAATGAAATTGAATTACCCAGTGTATTAGCAGCAAAGACATGTTATCTGGCACAATCAGGGAAAAGAACTTCTTAGCATTAACTATCACGGCTTTAAAAAGCAATCTGTAGTTAGTAGCAATATGGATGTAAAAATATTATTACAATGTAAGAAACATAACTCTTATTTCAATGAGATTCCTCTTTAACTTTATTTCAAAGATGGAAAGTATAGCAAAACATTACAGCGTGATACTCTTCCCTGTATGAAGCCCTTTCTTCTCAGAAAAATGGGATCACTTCAAATATATGTCATTTGCAAAGAGAAGCAGAAAATACAAGCATACTGATTTACAATTCTATTGCTCAAATTATTTACTTAAATACTTAATATATTGATTAAATCATTAGCACAGGAACACTGTTCACAAGTACTAAATCTGCATTATATCAACATTTAAAGTCAATCTGTCCCAAATAAAACTAATCATCTTCTCCCTACTCCCACAATTTGTTACTCCTCATCTATCTTAATTGGCAGCATCACCATCTACTCTATCATCCAACCTAGCAACCCAGGAATAGTAAAACTGTCAGAAGTTATAAGCCAACCAGACATCAGAAGGCATGATATCTACTTCTAGCTTACATAAAACCCATATTGGACACCAATACAGATGGAATAGTACAAATTACAAAATAAGCCTAAAAATTTACCTTGATATACTCTATTCTTTACCTAGAAGAGAGAAATAAAATTAAATTTGATGTCAAACATTTCATTAACAGAAACACATAGTTCCTAATACAACAGTCAAAATCATAACCAAAGAAGAATTTAGTAACAATTTGGTTCAGCAAAATGAATCAATAGATTAAACAATAAGAAAAGGTTAAAAAGCATTTCAAACATAATTGGTAGTGATACTTCATAAATAGTCACTAAGGTAAATATCTTATTTTTACAGCTAAAGATATGTTTATAAATCTATTAAATGAGCACCAATCATATGAAATGTGTAACTTTAATAGAAATAGCTAATATTTTCACAATAAATGTACTAATGCTTTCTCATTTATTTTGACAACCCCAAATAGCCAGAATGAAGTCTAGAAACAATGATTGTTCAAAAAGTAAAGGTGTAATCTTTGTACCATGATATGCCTGTTTCACTCACCAGAAAACATCTTAGAAACCCTATTCAAGGTTGGATACTGGCTGAATTTAGAAATAATTCTAATAAAGCTAGATTATTTGATTTTCCTAGACCACTAAAAATCCTCATAAATCTGAAAGGGAAGGGAAAATTAATAGAGCAAAGTGTACAAGCAACAAGAGAAATGACAGCTAACATTTTCCCAAAGGGGCAAAACCCAAATCATACCCCAAAGACAGCACTAAATTATAGGATAATAAAATCTAGGCAGTAATTTAAAACAAAAATAGTATTATTAAATTTCTTTGTAACCCAGAACGTATTTCCCCTTTCAAATGTTACAAACGGTGACGAGATACTCAAGACTAGTCCACAAATCATCCATGGTATCTCAATATTCTTACAGTATCTAAACATCACTTATAAAACTGTTGTTATAGGGAAATGCACTCAGAAAATTCCAACATGGAAAGAAATGGCTATTTCTCTAATGTCACTAATGAGAGACAAAGCCGCCTTTGTCTGCTTTCACTCATACTAACAGGCAAGTGAGGAGCAAGTTTCCAAAAGTCAGATGCTGAGGCTGAGGAGCAGCAGTTACATACAGAGCCTATGTAATCTTGTTAAAATCAAAACAGGTGTTACGATTTTTTAAATGGGAGAAACAAGTGTGGGAAATATAAAATGTTTCTGCCTTTTCTCTTTCTGTTCACCTTTCTAGTCCCCTTTTTCCTTTTATCTGAAAAAAGGGCCTCATGAGGTTAGAGAATTCCTCACAGGAATTCAGGCCAAAAAAAACCCTTCTTTTTAAGTGATTTTATAAATCAATTGTGCAAAGAGAGAAAACTTACTAACAATGATATGTCCAACATAAGAAATCAGAAAAAGAATATTCAATTTTAGAAAGATTTACAATCAATGCTTTTGGCCACTTGTAACTGTTAAGTTTCAACTGAAACCTTTTCAGCTGCAAAACTCATTTAAACATTATGTTAAATAACTATGAAGCAAAATAATATGCAGTATAAGTATGCATATGCATGAATATACACACACATATGTACATGTACGTATGAAAGACAAATTCTGCACAGAAAAAAGACTCTAAGGAATAAAAAAAAATTTAATCACATGTCTTTGGACATTATATAATCTTTATTTCCAAATAAAAAGATATTTTCTGAGTATAATAGCTCACGACCAAATCAGAAAATCTGGGAAACATATACACAAGAAAAAAACTGAAAAATTATCTCATCTCTTACATATAAAAATTTTTATCATTTTGATGCATTTCCTTGCATTTTTTCTCTGTGTTTGTTTATATGTGTGTGTGTTTATATATACATGGTTTACCTGCACTTTAAAGGCTTGGTTTCTTTTTTCCACTTAACATTAAATTGTGAGCATTTGCTGTGCCCCAATGTCTTCGAAATACATAAAGCCACCTTATATTTCATTATACGAATGTACAATAATTTAATAATTCCCCTACTATGGCTCATAGTAGGTTGTGCCAAGTTTTCACTCTAATAAATACTGTTCCACTGAATGCTCTGGTACGAGATCATTAATGTATGATTGGTTATTTCTTTAGGATACACTACTAAACATGATATTAATCCTATATAAAAGGATATGACCATTTTTAAGGCTTCAGATATATATTATTCAACTACTTTTCAGGATGGTTATAAGAATTCCCAATTCTACCAACAGTGTGTATATGCACCTATTTAATTCTTAATCTTTAAGTTTTGATATAAGGTATTTATATATTGAAGTTTCCCCAATGAGATTATACACATGTTGCCTTGTGCACTTAAGTTTTTACCAACACAAAAATTACACCAAATTATTTTACAAGGTTAGTTTGAATCATAAGCAGTAATTTGTGTTGTTAGTAACTAAAAAAATAAATAAAAGGGCCAGTGATTATAAAACAAACCTTGTATTTATGAACGTAAGTTAATTTAATTTACTCACAATAAGGATAGTTCTCCAGAAGAAAACGGCAAATGTAACAATTCCCAAGAAGGCAGTGATAAGTACAGGTTTCCATGGCAGTCCATAAAAATCAGGCCCAGGCTGAACATCATCAGGCAATGTAGCAACTATCTGAAATCGACATAAAAGAAATAATGCGAGGCCAGGCGCGGTGGTTCACGCCTGTAATCCTAGCACTCTGGGAGGCCGAGGAGGGCGGATTGTTTGAGCTCAGGAGTTCGAGACCAGCCTGAGCAAGAGCAAGACCCCGTCTCTACTAAAAATAGAAAGAAATTAATTGGACAACTAAAAATATATAGAAAAAATTAGCCGGGCATGGTGGCGCATGCCTGTAGTCCCAGCTACTCGGGAGGCTGAGGCAGAAGGATTGCTTGAGCCCAGGAGTTTGAGGTTGCTGTGAGCCAGGCTGACGCCACGGCACTCTAGCCCGGGCAACACAGTGAGACTCCGTCTCAGAAAAAAAAAAAAAAAAAAAAAAAAAAAAAAAAAATGCAAAACCTGAAAGGAACTTACAATAAAGCAGTCACAAAGAATTATCCATACAAATTCTAAACCAACCTCTATCAGATAACTACTCCCTCAAAAATCTTCAATAGCTCCCACTGCTTCAAGAAAGATGGGATATTGGGAGTCTTATATTTCTTGTTTGGCTTACAATGTTTTTAAGTATTAATATTATGAATCTAAATGTCTTTACGTTGAGGATATAGTTCCAGTTTGCAATAGGCCCTGACACGTCACGTTGTCTAAAACATGCTAGAATCCTGCCGGATCGTACTTTCTCTTGGATAAGTTGGGTGTAATTACTTTAAAAAAACTGCACAAGACATAAAATGTAAATATACACATAATCAACTTTTACGGCTGCAAATAAAACCAATATGATGATAATGAATAACACAAATAATGTGTTATTTCTCTAAAATTTTAAATGTTAAATCTATTCTACTCTTACATAAACAACAAATGTTGAGTAAATTCAGAGAGTTCTTGATAACTGGTCTAGATAAACTACTCTGAATTTAACTGTCTTCTCTATAACTCAAAGCCTTAATTCTGAACGTTTCCTTGAAGACAGCGCATTAAACTGCCTGCTCTATGCTGTGTTTGCTTCCCTATGCAAGTACTCATCATACTGGCCCCAACCCCCAACAGCGCTGGGGGTTAAGGGGAAAAGACCTGCAGGCCTGTTTCGATTTTGCTTACCGAAACGTAACAAAGTGCCTGTCACTTCGCAAGTGCTCAATAATAAAACGAACACGTCATGAAACCTTCTCAAACACACTCTCACTAGCCTCCCTAAACAGCACAGAAACGTCCTGCCTGCCTCGGGCCTGACACACTCCATTTCTCCTTTGTCCCGTGGGTCAGCGAACCCACTCTGCTCAGAACTCGTCCACCCGCCTGCTAGAGCTGGGGTCCCTCCCCGGAAACGGGGACCGTCACCTCCACCAGCTTGGCTATGAAAGCTGCGTAGAGAACCGACAGGGGTCCCAGAAGCTCCGGGTCCCCCGGGGAAGCGGTGATGGAAGGCACAGTGGCAGGTACTGAGTCCATGGTGTAGGGACAGCTCAGCGGAGGCGACGCTTCCCGGTGGACGGCACTGGACGCCCCTGTTCCCGTTTCCTCCTTTGGAACGGACCGGTACAAGGGGCGGAGAGAAGGAGTAAACTTCGCCTTCCCCAGCTACTGTCGCTTTCCGCCCTAAGCGTCCATAAAACACGTCATCAGGCAACGCCCCGGGCAGACAACACCGAGGTACGGAGCCAGGCCGCGGGGGCGGGGCCAGGGCGGAAGGAACCAACTGTCAAGCGGTGCGGGGGGGGGAAGAGCGAAGAGCTGAGCGGAAGAATCCAAGTCAAGGGGGAGAACCCGGGGAGCTACCTGGAGGAGGATTATGGGAGGGGGGTGGGGAAGAGGGGAAGGGCTGGCCTCTCATGCCCGCCCAGAGCCAGGAGACGCCAGGCACCTGCCCCTATGTCCAGGCAGAAAAGGAGTCGCCTCTCCCCGCGAAGGACCCGGCTCGGGCCGGGCCGGGCCGCTGCCTCCTGGGGGAGGGCTTTCCTCCTGGGGGAGGGCTTTCCTCCCTGTCCTCGCCAGTCCTCGCCTTACTCCTCCGCTTCCGGACCCCCCGTTGCTCAGGTGGTCTCTTTCTTGCTCACACCCTATTAAGAGCCTTATCCTAAGGAGTTACGTCATTATCACCCCTGTGTCAATGGGTTCGGTTCCGGGTAACACATTGTTTTTTTCTTTCTTTTTTTAGAAATGTGGGTCTCCCCATGTTGCCCAGGCTGGACTTCAACTCCTGGGCTCAAGCGATCGTGCCAAGTAGCTGGGACTACAGGTGCCTGGCCACATTTTAAGGTTGTCTTACTTGTGGCAAAAGACAAGGATAATGAATAGTCTAGAAATCATGTTCTAAAAGTTGAAGACACTGGGGACATTTAATCTGAGGAAAAAAATGGTATTTGTAGATCTTTAAAGGTGTATCTTCAAGTTGAATATAAAGTCAATTCAGAGGAACAATCAAGCAAGAACAGGCAGGAAAATCCTGAAGAAGAAGAGTGATGAAGGGTGCAGTGAGAGAAGAGCGCAGGCTCGGTAACTGCTCAGTACGGTACTGGCCCGAGAATGCAGACTGACCACAGGACAGAATAGAAAATCCAGAAATAGACCCAACTGCATTGGAAATTTGGGATACAATAAGTCAGCTGGGGAAAAACAGGCTTTTTAGTAAGTAGTATTGGCATATTTAGAAAACCATATTGAAGATGATCACATTGGATCTTTTTCTCATTGTTCACAAGGATAAATTCCAAATGTATTAGAAACCTGATGCAAAAAGTGAAAACAAGTACTGGAAAAAAATGGGTAAATTTTTCTCTGTACTATGAGTGGGCAAGACCTTACTAATTATGTGTGAAAATCTAGAAGCAACAAAGGAAAAGATGCTTGCCCAGCTTCTGGGCAACTTGGTCTCCAACTTCCGAAAGTTTACTCATTCCTTTAATTTACCAAAAAAAGTCCAATTTCAACAAGTATCACAAGAGGGAGCTAAGTCCTAAAAAGCTTAGGTAAACTCCTAGGTGGATTAAATGTCTCATTTGGATCATGACTCTTCAGAGAGATCTGAATAAATATTCTGCAATAAGTCACTCTTTCCAAGAAACGTATCTGACCAATCCCTCTCCTGCTGAAAACCTTCCAAGGATCCCCACCATTAGCGGTCTGACACCACTTATTATAACACCCAGCTTCCTTTCTGACTTGCCCCTGCCTCCCTCCAACAGGCCACCCCCACCCCCAACTCCACACTTTCAACACCAGCAGCTACTCACGCTTCCCCAGCTTCCCCAAGTAACCTTTCCCTCACACCTCCATTTCTCTGAACATGTAATTTCTTCTGTCTGACTGCACGCTGCCCCCGACCCAGCCCTTCTATTCAACCACAAACTACATGTTAAGCTCCCACCTGTCCTTCGACTCTGCTTAAAGCAGGTCTCAGCTAACTTCGGGCCTTTCCTATTGCCCTGCCACCACAATGACCCAACTTATGCCACATGCTGTTCTACCATCGGGTAAATACTTCTGTTCCTGCCTGCATCATACTGTATCTCAAGTGAATGACTTTATCTCCCAGCTAGAACTGAAAGGTCCCCGACGGGAAGAACCACGCTTTACAGGTCTGCACACACCCGGCCCCGACGTGCAGCAAATCCTCCACCTGCTGAACTAGGAACCCACTAAAGCCATACACCTGTGGCTCATTTAAGGGGCTATCTTTCAAAGGATAAGGGGCCATTTTCATAAAGACATTTTAGGTTCCTCACCTCATGCTCAAAATCAACTTAAAAACTGTAAAAATCAACATTCTAGCGAAGAAACTGTGTCAAACTTACCGTCTTAGTTAAATAAAACATGAATGAATATATTAAAAGGATTGCATTTTCCAAAGGTGTAACACTGGCTGGCTCTTCAGCATTTATCTCTCGTTGCTTTTTTACATCAACAGCATCAACGGGAGTGCCTTCCGTTGTAATTAGCCCTAAAATTGAAGAGGAAAATGAATATTTTATTTTACGCTTTAGAATAAGAATTCATTTTAAATATTTATTGAGAATCCACTAAATACTAGTCACTGTGCCTGGAATGTGTGGTTTTAAGATAATTGCACAGAGAAAAAGAATTCAGAATACCAATTAGAGCCATCATACCCTTCAATTATAAAATGAACAAGTCTCCAACTCACTCCACCCCCTACCAGTCCCCTCCAGGCGCTGCCCAGCAACATAACCACTATCAGAACAATATTTCCTCATGGGAATTGACAAAAGCGGAATTTTATGCTTTCTCCGCATAGACACAGTCATATCCAACAGATGTTCAGTTAGTGCTAGTGATGCACTGTGTTAGAAACTTCAGGAAAACAATGAATAAAAAGAGAGTCTCGGTTTGCAGACTTGCAGGTGGAATGCACCAGTGCTTAGCACAGCGTCTGGCAGCTGGCAGGTGCTCAGTAATTGTTTGCTGAATGGATGAGCAACAGCTACATAAAAGAGAGTATGGCAAATGCCAAGAGGGACTGAAGGGGGTTGTCGATGGAATAGGAAACTGGCTCCAAGGCTCTGTCCAAGAGGCAGGATTCCAGTTACACCTAAAAGGATTTCCACATGACAGGGTGGTCGGGAGGGGATTTCCATGTGAGTTATATGAGTCTGAGGCACCTTTTGTAAGCAGCTAGGAGTCCAGCATGCAATTAGTAAGAAGTTGGACTAGTTGCCTTGAAGTTCTCTCCCAACCCTAAGATTCTATCTACCATTGATCTATGAATTTGACTTCTGGTAAAGTTGCCCCAGTCATGTCAGCATCTCAGTGCCTGAGATGCAATAAGGGACATTTGGGAAGATTCACCTGTAAAAGTCGTTAAGGTCATTTTGTGGTGGAACTTAAAGGACAGGGCAAAAAATTGTTTGTAATTCTGTAAGCAGAATTTTCCCTAACCTTGAAAGTTTCTGAGCAATAGAGTAACAAACCTTAAGGATGCATGATTCATCTTCAACAAGCAGAACCTTTTTGAGTTAAAGGAGTTTAGAAGTATATATATTTCTTATATATGAATACAATGTCCTCTGGAACATAGGAGACCTCTGAGATGTCATTCCTTCTCAAATTGGCAGAAGGCCTCTCCCTGCTGTGACTTCTCCTACACTTTGTGTGTGTATGTTGTGGGTAGGGTGTCAGTGCGGTGCCGCCAAGCCCTGCAGTGTGACACGGTAAGGCTATATCTATCTTCCAGACCACAGCCTTTAAAAACACAAAACAGTAATGGCATCATCATGTCACCGTCACCATTTTGGATAGACAAAATAACACAATTAGCTCTTCTGATTTACTGTAAGATGAGAGTAAGCTACACGGAAATTAGAAAGCTGTTGATACCATTATTAGGGTTTGATTTTTTAACGATTTTTAAAAACATTTTTTCATCTCCCACTGAATGTTTACTGTGTGCTGTGATGAAGTACTCCTCACAAGTGTTGGTCTACACTGGGCTATTACACACTGCAAAGTCCTATACTGGCTGCTGTAAGCTAAACACGCCTGGACCCCTTCACTGGGTTTTACAAAGTTTTATTTACCATGTGAAAATAACAAATGAAAAAAAGAACTGCATTACTTTGTCTTCTATTCAGGAAAAAGAGGGAAAGTGGAGAGAAAACACAGAATTCGTGAGTTTTAGAGCAGTGGTTCTCCAATTCTAACTTGCATCAGGTCAGTCTTCTTGAAGGGCTTATTAAGACACAGACTGCTGGTCCCATCCCCAGAATTCCTGACACTGTTGGTCTGGTTGAAAACTACTATTTTAGAGCATAAGGCCTTTTAAGAATAATATTTTAGATTAAAATAATTTATACAAGCTACTGACAGCCAAGCATTGGTCTGTAGGTTAGTTATAGTCTCTGGCCTCTTTCCTTTATATATATATGTTTTGTTTTTAGAGACAAGGTCTTGCTCTGTTGCCCAGGCTAGAGTACAGTGGTGCGAGCATAGCTCACTGCAGCCATGAACTGCTGGGGCTCAAGTGATCCTCCTGCCTCAGCCTCCTGAGTAGCTGGGTCTACAGGCACATGCCACCATGCCTGGCTAATTTTTCTATTTTTTGTAGAGATGGGGTCTTGCTATGTAGTCCAGGCTGGTCTCAAACTCCTGGCCTCCAGTGATTCTCCCACCTCAGCCTCCCAAAATGCAGGTATTACAGGTGTGAGCCACCGTGCCCGAGCTCTTCATCTGTCTTAACTCCTGCTTTTCTCTTGATTAGCTCTGGGATTTTTTTTTTCCCCCTTCAACTCATATATATCTGTATTATTCTCTCCTCTATTTCCTACCTTTGGCAACAAATCTCCTAGAAGGTCTTCTTTATGATTATGTCATTACTTTGTAGAAAAAAAGTAGCAAGATTTTACCTGGGTCCAAGTCTTTCTTAGTATTCAACTTTTCTGACACTTCTGAGGCTCCCGTGTCCCTTGTCATGGGCTGGTCCAAGTGGGTGGGCTCTTCAGGAATCTGCATATTAAATTTTTCCATGTTCTCTTGTGAGAAATTATCTTCATGGGGTGGTTGCATCTCTACAGGTGAGAAGAAAGCAGTGAGCTGGCACAGCTTTCTGGCACTACCTGTCAGCTAACCCCGCCGACCAGCACTCCCTCCTCATACAGCGCCAGGGCACCCCGACACTGCCCCCCCATGCACAAGCATCCTGTGGGGTGTCACTGGGCAGGGAAATAAGAGTTTCAGTTTCTTTCATCCTACTTAAAGGATGACTAATCTACGTGATAAAATTTACAAAGAAGTATTTCATAAGTAAATATATTTATGGTAGGGACTTCAATAACTTCACTTCCTTTGGCAAACCAATATATGCCCACACAAATAATGTGCAAAAGAGAACTGCAGTCAAGAGCAGAAATGTGACACATCTGTTTGACACAGAAATAACATGAACTCCTTCATACATAAGCATGCTTTTCTCACAGAGTCAGTACAGAGAAGAGCATTCCATGCCAAGGCAGCTTGCTGAAGTGTCTTTCAAATACTTTCACAGCATGTCTAAGAGTCAAAGAGAGCAAACCCATCTCCTTCCCTAAGAGGCTTAGGGCATAGTCCAATGTGACCCATTGCAGAGATGAGTTTCTTTGCAGCCTCATATTTCGCCCTGAAAATTCACCTGAATTTTGCATTCTTATCCAAAATATATCTGCTTTGATTAAATGCAAAAATGTTCACCTGCACTGACTCTCAGGACAAATCAGCACTTTGGGGAGATCCATTTTCCTCAGGCTTTATGGTACTCTACAGCACGCCTCAGTTCAAACACATCTGTTTGAAAAGCCTGGGTACAGAGAATAGAACATGGAACTAGGAACCGGGAAGCTTCTGTCCGGATATTTGCTTGGGGTCAATTCAGCAAATATTTACTGAGTGGCTTCTGTGTGACAAGCTCTGTGTTAGAAGGCTACTCCTCCTGACTCCATTCTCGATTAATGAACGCAAGAGCTCACGTGTGCAGGCAAGGTTCGCTGGAATAAGTGACTGCCCCAGAGGCAGGAAAGAACACGCCGTCCACAAGAGACACATGTTGGGGGGAGAAGGAACGCAGGCAAGGCATCAATGTGAAAGTTATGCCAGTCAATGCTGGGTGCAGAGCAGTTCTCTTAGGATTTAAAAGCTGTGTTCAGCAGAGCCCCTTCATAATTCTATATGAGATCTGTCCTGTGTTAACAGGTCTACTTCGTCCATCATTTTCTCGTTTATATTTTTCTCTTTAGCTTTTTATAAAGTTTCCTTTTGAAAATGCTAACCAGTCTCAACTGTCCTAAGGGAAACAGTAAGAAATCCTTCTCTATGCTCCAGCCTAAAAGGAAGGAGGCAGGAAGGGACATGTGGGCCTCTCCTTTAAGCACCCTGGAAACTGTGAAGAGACCTTTACAAATAAGACAGGAGCACCATTCAATAAATGGTGCTGGGAAAACTGGGTAGCTACATGTAGAAGAATGAAACTGGATCTCCACCTCTCACCTCTCACAAAAATCAATTCAAGATGGATATCAGGCTTAAACCTAAGGCATGAAACCTTAAGAATTCTAAAAGAAGATGTTGGGAAGACCCTTTCAGACATCAGCCTAGGCAAGGAATTCTTGAAGAAGACCTCCAAAGCAATCACCGCAGCAATAAAAATAAATAAATGGGATCTGATCAAATTAAAAAGCTTCTGCACTGCCAAGGAAACTATCATTAGAGCAAAAAGACAGCCTACTGAATGGGAGAAAATATTTGCTCTCTACACATCTGATAAAGGGCTGATAACCAGAATCTATCTAGAACTCAAAAAAATCAACAAGAAAAAATCAAACAACCCCATCAACAAATGGGCAAAGGAAATGAACAGAAACTTTTTGAAAGAAGACAGAATAATGGCCAGCAAACATACAAAAAAAATGCTCAACATCTCTAATCATTAGAGAAATGCAAATCAAAACCACAATGAGACATCACCTAACCCTGGCGAGATTGGCCTCTATCAAAAAATCCCAAAATAACAAATGCTGGCGAGGATGTGGAGAGACAGGAACACTCTTACACTGCTGGTGGGACTGCAAATTAGTGCAACCTCAGTGGAAAAGAATTTGGAGATACCTCAGAGAGCTAAAAATAGAAATACCATTCGATCCAGCAATAGCACTAATAGGCATCTACCCAAAAGAGCACAAAACATTCTACGATAAAGACATCTGCACCCGAATGTTTCTGGCAGCACGATTCACTATTGCCAGGATGTGGAAACAACCCAAGTGCCCGTCAATCCATGAGTGGATTATTAAAATTTGGTATATGTTTACAATGGAATATTACTCAATCATAAGAAACGACAGTGATCTAGCACCTCTTATACTTTCCTGGATTAAACTTAAACCCATTATGCAAAGTGAGGCACCACAAGAGTAGAAGAACGGGCTCCACTTGTACTCGCCATCAAATTGGTACTAACTGATGAACACTAGGGTGACCACATGGCAGAAATACTCTGGACATGGGGAGCACTGTAGGGGGGAAGGGCATGCCTTTAACCCTCGCTTGGGTGAGGCAAAGATATAAAGTGTAACCTTAATGTTTGTACTCTCATAATGCCCTGAAATAAAAAAAAAAAAGACAGGAGGCGCCTGAGCGAAGCCCAGCCCCGGCCCCGCGCCCGCCGCCGCCTCTGCAGCCCGATCCGCAAGGCCGCAGGCGGGCACCTCACCTCCCATCGTTTCGCCCCAGCCTTCCTCCAGAGGCGGTGCCGTCACCAGTGGGGCTGTCTCCTCCTCTGCGGAGTGCCTGTACCTGACAAAATAGATCAGGTCTTGAATGTCCTCTAGCACTACAGTCTCTTCAAATACGTTGTTTTCCTTCAGCCCCTGGTATCTATTTTTGGCCACACGAGTATCGAGCATTTTCTCTGCTGTGCTCAGAATGTGTGACTCAGAAGCACGGAAGACCTTATCTAGGACTTTTTCCACATTATAGGGCAGGCTCTCCCGCTGCGCTGACTTCAGCTTTAATGACATTTCTTGTAGCATGGCTTCCAGCTCGTGGACGTCAAAGTACTTCTGGAACCGCTGCAGAGACTGCTGCTCTTTAAAGAAGCTGCTAATTATGGGCAAGTCCTCCCTCTTGCCACCAGGCTCTGGCTCTACACTCGTATGTGGGGTCCAGAGGAACGAGTCATCTTCAAGTTCCTCAGAAACAGACCCCTGGCTCTCGGCGCCCACGAACTTCTCTACGTCCTCATGGTCCTCTCTCGACAGCTCTTCTCCTCCCGGCTTCTCGGCGAGCCCTGAGGTCTTCACAGGTTCCTCGGAGTTGTCTTTTCTCAGATAATCAGAATCTTTATTCTGAAACACGTCGGCTAACTCTGGAGTCTGAGTTCCTATCTGGTCAGGAAAGTCACCTACTTCGGACGGTCTCTGTGCTTTCTCACCCGGCAGAGGGCGCCCTTCTTTTTCTCCCGCCTCACCAGCTGGTTCCCCGCCTCGAGCGTCGACCCCGCCGGCTGCGGTCTCGCTTTTTCTTCCACCACCCAACACACCGGCTTCTCCCTTGTTTTCTTCCACTTCTGGATCCGGACCAGTGGTCCCTAAAACGGCACTTTCGGGGATGTGCAGGTTAACACCTGCCTGCCTGTCCCGAGCCCCGGGGCGGCTCTCTTCAGCCTGCCTCGCACTCAGGGCGTTTTCGTCCTCCAGCAGCTGCTCAGGGAGATCGCCGTCCTGCGCCGCCGCGGGCTCCTCAGCGGGGTCGCCTGCTCGCCCCGCGCTGGGGGCGGGGTCTGCTCTTCCCGGTCCCTGGGGGTCCTGTGTTGCCTCGTGACGAACGAACGCTCCGTCTGAGCGGTCCCCTTTGCCCTCTTCCTCAGAGAGCCTCACCTTCTCACTCCAGGGCTCAGGGACGACAGCAGCCACATCTCTTGCTTGTTGCCAGGGAAGATTTTTTCCCAGAATGGGAACCCCTTCTTCTAGTTCTCCTGGCAAACCAATTTCACCTGGAGAGGAGGAGCTCGGTTGGTTTCGAGTCCTAAGAACCAGATCCTCTTGAAACTCCTCGCGCTGATGCTCGGCTGGAAGCGCGTGCAGTTTGGGTCCACTTAGCAGAACGGCTGCTTCCTCCACAGCGTTTCCGGACGCTTTACGCGGCGCGTCTCCCGCGAGCGCTGCAGGATCCGAGGACTCCCGTTCCATCTTTTCTGCGCTCATCTGATTCCCCTCAGCTTTATGGACAGGGTCGCTCCCTGAGCCACCTTCCAAAATCTGATCTCCAGGCTTTTCTTCATGGCGCATTCCCTTTGAGACGTGAACAGCTGCTCCTTCTAGGCCATTCTCATTGTCATCAAAGGCTGACTGTGCTGTGTCTCCACCCTTGTCAGCAGCTAGCAAAGAGCTGAGGTCACTGCTTCGAGTAGAGCGGTGCATGATCACCCCTTCCTGCTTCTCATCCTCTAATTCTGTCCCATCCTGTACCGGGCCCCTCTCAGGTTCCTGAACTTTCCTCCCTTTTCCTTTAATGTGAAGTCCGGTGTCCACTTCTGTGTCTTTGTCATTATTTGTTTTAGGGACTTCTACAATCAAAAGACCATCTTCTTCATCTTCAGGGTCAGTGTGGTCTGTTGTTGATCGTGGTTTCTCCTGTGTGCTACCTGGGACTGAGGCATCGTCGTCTTCCTTTTCTTCCTCTGAATCAGAACTCTCTAAATCCATCACACCTGTTTTTTCTTCACCTCCTGTGACAATAGAAAAGATAGTATCCCCCCGGGTTGTTAGAATATTTGTATCATCATTTTTGATGCCAGGGGACACAATTCCCTTAACCTTATCCTTTTCATTTGAATTCTGCCCCTTGTCTGATGAGCATTTCTCAACTCCAGACCTCGCTGGTGTTTCCGTATCTTCTCTGCTCATAAAGGTTAGTAATGGCAGTTCATCAAAGTCTTCTGGATTCTCCTCTTCCTTCTTCTCGACTGCGTAATACTCGGCGTCCAATTCCTCGTCAAAATCGTCTTCTAGTGAAGTAACGAGGCTGGTTGTCTCGTCATCGGATACAAGTGCGTCAGCGGTTGAGCCAAATTTGGTTTTCAAGTCTAGAGTCATTTCTTTTTTCAAAAGTTTATAAGCGTCTACCTTTTTCTGCTCATTTGAGACCTGAGAGCTATTGCTAGTTTTGTTGTTTTCACTTTCTGGCACTTTTAATTTATCCTGTAGCATCTCGTCAAAAGGTTCAAAAGAAGGCTGCTCTCCCTGAGCATTTCCTGCTTGACTGTTTGCCTGGGGGTGGTTCTTCTGATCCATGAATGGTTCCTTGAGATCCTCAGTGTTCTCTGAGAACACACTTTCGCTTTCCTCTGGGTTGGCTTCCACGGGTTCAGCCTCACTTTCGTTAGATACTTCGGGAGGTTTTTCCATATGCTCAGTTTCTTCTATAGCTTTCTCAGACTCTGCAGCTGCAGAATCATACAATTCCAAAAACCCTAAAAGTTCTTCTACATTATAATTATCAAAATCATCTCTTCCTCCATCAAAACACACAAAATCTGTTTCCTGTAAGGGAAAGAAAAACATTAGTGTGCCACTAACCAAATGTCAGAAGAGCAAACTCTTAGCCATACTAATGATAGAGATAATCTCCAATTCATGTTTGGCTCTAGAGGGGCATTTGTGTCAACCTTGGGCGATGACCGTCCCCACCCAAGTACTAGTCCTGGCTTCCCTTCACTCTCTCTTCCCCAGGGAAGGAATGTGGTTGGTGAATTCCCTCAGCCCCATCCCTCTTTTCTGTTTGGGACCTGCCAGAAGGAAAACACATACTCTGTTCCTCCATGCTGTTGGTTTCATAGAGACAGTCCCCGCTGGGGAGGCCCCCAGTTGGCTAGCTCGGTCTGTGGCTGGCTAAGTCTGTTTATGTAGACTGCAACATTAGAAAGGCCGTTATTTCTGCACACTTGAATCATATTCTCCAAACAGCTTTATCCGTTAATAATGGTGACATTTTGGTCTCCACCTGCCTAACTCCTGGGTTTCTCGATTTGTTTTGAGCACATGTGGGGGAAAATGGGGTGTCATTTATTGGGTGCCCTAACTCCCAACGTCTATGCCTGATGTCCTGGGAACTCATCACCTAACAACCCATCCAGGAGAAGCTGAGAGACCGGCCAGCTCCTCTACTGCTACGTTCTCTAAGCACACTTCTCTGCACACCCAGCTAGAAACAGGGAGATTCACCTGGCTCGATTTTTGGCTCATATTTTCTTTGGATTTGGAAAGATAAATCAACTTAAGAAGCATCTTATTGAGATAAAGGTGCAAGGCAAGTAAAAATGTAAAGGGACAAAGAATGATGTCAAGGGGCTCTCCACTTTGTTATTACCACAAGAACAACTTGAAAACAAGATTCAGGGAGGCATATAACTTACTCTAAATCAGGTTCTAGGCAGTCATTAAGATCTGCTCTCAGGACTGTCTATAAATCTACATTCCTTTCCTCCGCTAGCAAGCAAATTGGCATACAAAGAGTCATAAAGGGAGAGAAAAGTTACAAAACCAGCAAAGATAATTTTCTTCTCATAACTAAACTTTCACGATCTTCTGGGGAGACTTGTCCAGTGTAGCAGGGATGAATGATCTCCTCTCTCCATCACATGCATTCCTGAGCCATCTGCTTAATACCGAGGGATGCGAGCAGTGGGACGTGCAACAAGAAGACAGAAGCCGACACAGTTCGGGTCTTCGTGACCAGGGAACTGCTGTCGCACGCTTATATCGCAGGCAGTGTCTTCATTGGGAGTGAAGCCAAACAGGCAACAGGGCTGACTTTATGGCCTCCGGGATTATCAAGAATTTTAAAAATAGCAATAGCTCTGAGACTTCATCCATTCTGCCAGTCTCATCCAAGAACTGCCTGAGCCCAGCAGCTTGCACACTCTGCAGCAAAAAGCTACTCAAAAAGCTCCAAAAAGCTACTCAAAATTTCGAAATGAAGGTTGGCATCAATTACCGTAAATTTTAAAACACCAGAAAATTATCGGCTGGAATGAGGATTCTAGAACACAAAATCCTTTTAAGTCACAAAACCATTTTAAGTCAGGGCACCACAATAAATGCTTTATCGAATTTGCAGTCAGTGCCTTAGAGATGTGAGACTGGACCTCATCTGAAACTCTCAGGTTCTCTTTTCCAAATTTGTGCCATAACTATGATTCTTGAAGTCAATAAGAAAACCCTTGTAAGTTTACATTTCTGGCCCAGTGCAAAATGCGTTCAACTAATTTTACCTGATTTCTATATATTTAAAATGTCTAATAGCTATTCAATGAGTAGTTTTCAAATCAGGACACTTTCTCCTTTTGCTTGTAAAATGAAATTATTTAACTCTTAAATTTCATAACTAAATACAAAGATAATGAACTCTTAATTTTCCAGAGCAAAGAAATGTCCTGTATAAGAGTATACAGGCTTGTGTAAGAACATCTGCCTCAATATATTAGATAACTATCAGATTATGACAGCATCTCCTTTAAATTCTTTTCAAATTTTTCTTTCTTTTTTTAAGAGGTACTCCTTTATAAGCCAATTTATAACTAAGAACAAAAAAGAAATCTGCAACTTACATCTGTTGGAACTTGTAGCTCTTCTTTGGTATACTCGTGGACTACCTGGATTAAATCCTTTGGAAAATATCCAAAAATACGCCCAACCTACAAGAAATGGGCAAAATGGACAAGCATCAATCGAATTCTGTATAAGAAACATAAATGAGAGATTTTTAGTAGTAACAGGAAATATACAAATATATAGGTAGGTAGATACAACAAAGAGAGATAGTTGCTATTACAATTACACTGAGATTATATTATTCCAATAAAAATTAAGTACAAAATATTAAGCCAATGTTTCTAAAACCATTAAAGCTCTAACATAAAGTTAGAGCTTAGAAATAGATAAAAGATCTGTATAAGAGAAGATTATTGTACATTATATGATTAAACTGTGCAAATCAAAGCTGGTTAGAGATGCAATTCCAAATAACCTCTAGTAAGAATTTACCTGTGCATTTCATAGCATTGCTCATAAACCAGTACTTATAAGTCTTTGTTAAACAATTAACAACAGCCCTGTAATAAGTAAAAAAAAAACATAAAATTTCTGAAATATATCACCACTACAACAAAAGGCAGATACAGCTGACCCTTGAACAACACAGGGGTTGGAGCACAGTTAAAAATCTACATATAACTTTTGATTCCCCCAAAACTTAACTACTAATAGCCTACCATTCCAGGGGTGGGGAACCCACAGCCTCAAGGCCACATGTGGCCCTCCAGATCCCTAAATGTGGCCCTTCGACCAAATCCAAACTTCACAGAACAAATCCTTTCATTAAATGGATTTGTTCTGCAAAATCCATATTCAGTCAAAAGGCCACACTCGGCAGGGTGCAGTGGCTCACACCTGTAATCCTAGCACTCTGGGAGGCCGAGGCGGGAGGATGGCTTGAGCTCAGGAGTCTGAGGTTGCTGTGAGCTAGGCTGATGCCATGGGACTCTAGCCCAGGCAAGAGAGTGAGACTCTGTCTCAAAAAAAATAAATAAATAAAATAAAATAAAACAAAAGGCCACACTTAAGGATCGAGATGACCACGTGGCCCCAAGGCCACAGGTTCCCCACCCACCATAAACAATCGACATCTATTTTGTGTGGTATGTGTATCATATACTGTATTCTTACAATAAAGTAAGCTAGAGAAAAGAAAGGTTATTAAGAAAATCATAAGGAAGAGAAAATATATGTACTACTCATTAAGTGGAAGTGGATCATCATAAAGGTCTTCATGCTCATCATCCTCACATTGAGTAGGAGGAGGAGGAGAGGAGGGGTTGGCCTTGCCATCTCAGGGGTGGCAGCGGCAGGAGAGGTGGTGGAGGTGGAAGGGGACGCAGGAGGGGCAGCCACATTCTAGGTAACTTTACAGAGACACGATGTAATTTCTGTCTGATTTTTTTGATTTTCATTTCTCTAAAAATGTTTCTGTATGTTACCAATCCCTCTCCCGCCATTTGCTTTATTGTCAGTGCCCATATCATAGAAGAGGCCATGCCATAAAAGAAGCAAAAGCAGTTCTGAATGAATGACACCCTCTGCCAGATTGTCTAATGTCAATTTGTTTTCTGGCGCTGCTTCTTCTGTGACTTCTTCCTCATCGTCCAGCACTGGTTTGGAAGCACTCATTCCCATCGAGTCATCTCCTGTTAATTCCTCTGGTGTGGTGTCCATTAGCTCTTAAACTTTTCCAAGATCCGTATCTTGAAACCCAGCATCCCCACCTTTTTTTGCCATATCCACAATCACATTCATGATTTCCTTGATTGGCTCTGTCATACATCCTGTGAAGTCGTGCACAACTTCTGGACACAGTTTTCTCCACCAGGAATTTATTATTTTGGGCTTGATGGCTTCCACAGCTTTTTCTATGACAACGATGGTATCTTCAATGTTGTAATCCTTCCAGATTTTCATGATATACTCTCTATCTGGGTTCTCTTCCATAGTGTTGACAACCTTTCCATAGAGTACCATGTGTAATAAGCCTTAAAGGACCTTATAACAACCTGATCTAGAGGCTGAATTGGAGACATTGTATTTGGGGACAAGTAGACCACTTTGATGCCTTACATACTGAACTCATGGGTTCTGGGTTGCCAGGGGCATTATCCAATACGAACAGAACTTTAAAAGACAGTCCCTTACTGGCAAAGTACTTCCTGACTTTAGGAACAAAGCATCTATGGAACCAATCCAGAAAAAGGTTTCTCATTGTCCAGGGCTTCTTGCGTGACCAAAAGACTAGCAGCTAATGTTGATCTTTTCCCTTCAAGGCTCAGGGGTCAGCAGCTATATAGGTAAGAACAGTCTTGATCATAAACCCAACTGTACTTGCACAAAACAGTAGAGTTTTGCCTATCCCTTCCTGCCTTAAAGCCTTCTCTTCCTTACTAATTAAATGTCCTTTGTGACTTTTTTTTCCCAGAGTAGGGCACTGTTGTCTGCATTAGAAACCTGTTTAGGCAGATATCTCTTCTTCGTCTCAGTGCTTTTCTTAATGGTGTCTGGGAACTTGTCCACTGCCTCTTAGTTGGTAGAAGCTGCTTCTCCTCTTGTCTTGACATTTTTAAAGCCAAATCTCTTTCTAAAATTATCAAACCATCCTTTGCTGGCATTAAATTTTCCAGCTTTAGATCCTTCATCTTCATCTTGCTTTAAGTTGCCATATGATAACTTCGTTTTTTTCTCAAATCATATTAGAGTCTATAGGTATACCTTTCTTATAGCAAGCCTGCACCCACGCAAAAGCTGCATTTTTAATATGAGATAAAAACTTATTGTGCAAAAAGTGCAAGGTTTTCATGCCTGCTGGTGTAGCTGCAGCAACAGTTTCATGAATTTCTTTTTTATTATAATGATCCTTATGCTGGATTCATCAATCTTGAAGTGGCAGGCAACTACAACTGCGGACCTCAATCTATAGCACATATTACACACTGACTTTTTCTTGTAATGCCATGACTTTTCGTGGCTTCTTGGGAGCACTTCCAGCATCAATAGTGGCACTTTGTATGGGTCCCATGGTGTTATTCAAAGTTTATCTTATTGCACTAAACGTGAAACATACAACAACTGCAAGAGATCACTTTTTATTGCGATACACGATTTACTGGAGAGACGAACTGCTCACCTGGAGATGCTCAGTGTCACACGGTGTTTTAAGCAGATACCAGTAACACTTGAGCTCACTGCAATAGCAACAGGAGATGGCTATAAAATTATTACAGTTATACAGTATGCACTATGGTTAATTTTATGCAGTTATGATTTAATATTGCATCATTTGTTTACATTTCTCTCAACTGCAAATGGCACCATGTATGGTCTGCAAATGTATATGTGTGTAAGTTTTAATGAATTTTAACTCTTTATAATAAATAACATGTATATTTTATAGTAGTAAATGATAAAAATAGACTAGTATCTATCTACATGTATTTTATGTGTTCATGGCATAACCTTTTCTTATTTTTTTCCATATTTCTAGGCCAGTTTGTGAGTTTTTCCAAATCTCCAAAAAATTTTTCAATATATTTATTGAGAAAATTCCATACATAGGTGGACCCTTGTTGTTCAAACCTGTGTTGTTCAAGTGTCAACTGTATTTACTGATATTATGTGCTATACTGGCTTTTTCAAAAACTACCTTTACATGTATTTGGGGATAGAATAAAAATACGATGTAATTAATACATGCTGATCTACACACCAAACTTCAGTTTCTTGCAAAGTGAAGCCCCCACAGAAAATAATCCTATTTATTTTCAGCACTAACAGTAGCTACTGTCTCAAAGGGAGCTGTAGATCTTTTCCCAATCATTAAAGGACTCTGACATGTAAATAAAATGCACAAAAAGAACAAAAGGCCATCTTATCACTAATTTGTAAAATATCCCCATTCACAAGTGCTCTTGTTACATTTGGAAACTATCTGAAAGCCAGTTCTAGTAGTAGAATACTGCTATGAAGATTAGATAAGACAGGGCAACTAAAACCTGCATTATTGACAGAAAAAGTCTGAAACTCTAAGAAATCAAAAAGATTGCAGAATGAAAACTAAGAAATAGAAAGAAGAATCATTTTGAAAGCTAAGGAGAGTGAGTTTTTAATATCCTAAGTATAAGGTTCATGAAATGAGAGGGGAGACTGAGGGAAAATATACTTTTCCCTTATGAGGAAATGTTATTAAGGGAGAATTGGGAAAAGGGAAAGAAATCAGAGATATATGATGAAAAGAAATACTATAAATTTATCTTTGCTTAATCTTTGTCAACTGAGACCATAGGTCATACAAAAACTCCATATTTATATACTGGGTGGTATCTTATTTCTTACAATCTGACAAACAAAAAGCTGCAGAATCATGGGCCCACATGACTAAAGTAATCTTTATGTCTAACTTTGCTTCCGTATACCATCCTTGCCAAGGTACTGTTGATTTGATTTGTGTGGTGGGGGGAGGAAGAGTATTGCCTCAAGAGAACAAATTCTGCATCAGGACAGATGTAAGTAAGTGCCACTGCCCTGTAAGGAAATACTCAGAAGGAAGACGAAAGAGACGTGGGCCCTTCCTTTAAAGAATTTTTGACTTTGTATGAGCCAACACGGTACACAAACTAACTGCAATTACAAAACAGTAAAACAAACGCCACGTGAGCAGTGCAAACAAAGTGCCACCTGAACAATTATCAGACAGCAAAGATCCCTTCTGATGGGGTGATGAAGGCAGCATTCCCTGAGAAGGCAGGATGAGGGCTATGACCCAGAAAGACTGACGGGCTATCCAGAGGCAAATATGGTCATGAGCAAACGTGTGGCAGGAGGGAAAGCCTTAAGTCAAGTTCATTTTATCCAAATGCTCAAAGATGAGGAAAGGGAAAAGAACTTAACTGCTCTATGAAAAATGTAGCCTAAGTATGTGGAAAAACATTTCCAAGATAAAGATTATCAGGAAATCTCATTTGGTAGACTTGAGAGAAACAGAATAGATTCTTCTTTGTATGGAGTAAGGTTTGCACTTGACCAGCTGCCGTTTCTCAAGATTGCTCCCTAGGAATCTGGAATACTAACAAAATGAATCTGTTTTTCCCAAAGGGATTTTTGGCGCCTTATTTTCTGCTGTTTGTTCACTTGGTGTTTTATTGAGAGTGAAAGTTTTCACAGTTGGGACTGGGTATTTCTCTAAGTTGGGACAATCCTAAGGACATCAAGGATCTTACTACTTTAAGTAGATAAACAGTCCACACATCACACTCTCTAACAAGGAAAGGACAATAACTCATAAGATTAGCCTCTCAATCAGGTTATTTCTAATGAATCTCCTCATTAAAAACATCAAAGCATGATGCAGGGATAGACTGCCATGTCTGATATCAGAGCACCCATAAAACTGGCTAGAAATAGAGCCCCTGGGAGAACCTCCAGACACAGATGGCTGAAAGTCAGAAAAAGGAACACCCAAAAGTTGCAAACAAAAAAACAAACAAGAAAGCACACAGTAAACACAATATTTTTGGTTTTTTAACAGACTAATAACAGCAGAGATTATTAACTGTTCCCAAGACTGCCACTTTTTCGTAAATAATAATATAGAAGAAAGGAAATACACAAACAATCAACTTTAAACTCGCATGCCTGAAACAGTATCTCACACATAGTTTACGAGATTTAGTCTAATTCCCATGAATCCTTCCATTTTAAAGCAAGGAGGTCAACGAATATTCAGGTTTTCACCATTTCAACCTTTAATATGTATGGAGCATCCTAGAAGCTGATGCTCAGGGGCAATAGCTAGACTCGGTTCAGTTGTTTCAGAAACCTCTGCTGAGCCCCTGCTGTCTGCAGGCCCAAGGCCTGCTAGGGACACAGGGCCATCTTCTTTTTTCATAGTCTAGGAAAGAAGACATGTTAACCCCATCAAAGACTCTAAGAAAACACATTTAAATCTCCAGTGCTAAACAAGCCAATAGAAAGTAAGCAAATAAAGTATGTAAAAATTGTACTTACACTTCCAGCCCAAACTTCAGGCCCTCTCCCTGCCAATTTATAGTAGACATATACAGGGTCACCTTTTTTAAAATTCACAAAACGACAATCTGGGCCTGTGAAATCTTCTAGAGCCTCACCCCGGTACATTAACACTGTATATATATAGGAAAAACAAAAAACAGATACCAGATTCAGCTTCACAATCCATATTGACTTATCAGGAAATATAAGAATTCCACTGTAAATAACAATCAAGTTTTTCCAGTATTCTCTGGAAGCACTTTTAATTTCTATGTTCAAAGTACCTAAAATCCTTAGAGCTTTGTTGCTATAAATCACAACATCCCCTGCAAGTAGACAGGAGAAAGGGAAACATCCCTACTTTTCTCTACGGATAATACAGAGAAACAAAAAGCAAATGTGTCTACCACCACACATGGCTATTCTCAAGCGAAACTCTTGAAACTCTTGGCTCCCTCTCCAACCTTCTAGTCCTCAATCTTTTCTGTTTCATAATCATGAAAAGCTTCATTTTGCAAGTGGGTAAATTCAAGCACAGGTGCTGACTAGCATAATCATGGCTGCATGCAGAGGTAACATAGGGAACTGGGAAAAGTACCCAGGAACCCCCAGGGGGTCAATTAACTTGAACTAAGCACTAAAAGGCATAACCTTAAGTGGCTGTAACTGCTACTATGCAGCAGTAAACACTGTCAATTTCATCTGCAGCCAAGTTGTTTTCTCCGTACATAAATTAATGGGCAAGGATATCTGTCATACTCTATTATTGATTCAATCACATAATAAGGCAATATTTTCTGAAAGTAAATAATGTTGACTGAATCCAACATTAAGAAGGTTTCAAAACAAAGGAAAAATACCCATATTTATATTTTTCTATAAACAAAATAAAAAGTGGATATCTCATGTAGCGGGGACCAAGCAGAGCTATGAGAATAGGTCAGTACTGGTTACCTTCATGCTTTTAAAATGCAGGACTTAAATCACACTAGATCTAGAAACTGGTAGAAGCAGTATTTTTCTTTTCGTTGACGAAATACAGTTTCTGATGTAAGATGAAATGGACAGTAAGTGCATTTGAATAAGAAAAACGAAGAAAGATGAAATGGAAATAACACTTTTTCTAAAAGCCAATTAGCAATAAAATGCATAAAGACATATCTTTAAATACATCTTGGAGAAAAGACCATATAGATTTAGAGAGGGTTATTTGTTTTCCAAAACTAAAATCTGATTATTTTCAAATATGTCAGCTTCCTAATTCACATACAATTGGGTGAGAGGAAGGTTGAAGGTGATGGGCAATTTAAGGTTGGGAATTCCATCAGAATTGGGACTGGCAATGTTTCCTTGCTCCCCTAGAAGGGATCATTGAGAATTTGTAATAATACATCAGATGACAACATAATGCTCACTGTGGAACAGCTAGTTGAAAAGCACACAAGACCTCTTACACACACACCTTAATAAACACAACACAGACCCACACCTTGCGCCTGCTCTTACCTGTTGTGTTTGGTTACACCTGTTTGGATACACACCATTTCTCAAGTTACGTAACAACTGAGCTCTTTTAACACCATGTCTCAGTACTAGGGAAGCATCAGTGATGTGATTCTCCAGGTAACTTGTTTTGAAGAACCCAGGTAGGTCAGTGCTCAAAAACAAAGAATAGCAAATATTTTGCCATATCTAATAGCAAATGGATAAATACTTGGTTTTACTCCCAGAAAACTGAAGGGAAAAATCATGGCAGTTGCTCTGCTTTTGCAGTGTTTATTTACATCAGCCATACGGTTGGTTACCTCCAGGAATGGCTTAACACAAATTAGAGATCATCTCCTTTCTTTTCTTTAATGATGTTGTATTGATACAAACGCTTCGAATTATGAAATTTGTTTTTGAGAACACCAATTTGAACATAAGTAGCTGAACTGTAGGCTTCTTGGCCTTTTTAGAATGTTTTTCTCTATCTATTGCTTACAATTTATGAACAACCTGCGGTTGTCAGTAAGTTACAAGGTTATGTGAGACAGGCAGGAGGCCATAAGAATGGCCCTGGCCAGACAAACACATAGGAAGAGGTTCCAACAACACAAATAGCTAAGGCTAAAGCTGGTCTAGGCTTTAGCTTCCATCGCCCAGTTCAAAGCCCGGACCGGGGAGAAATTCCGCTTCCTGGGCACAGAACAGGCTGCTAGTCCCAGGAGACCTCTGGCCTCTTTCGAGAGCGAAAGATTGCGGCCCTCGCGCTGCCCTGCCTGGCGGTCTGCAGAGAAGCGCCCGTGCACGGAGATGACGGGGCTGAGCAGATGCCCGGCGGAGACCCCGGAGCACACCGCGCGCCTGGACTCGGGGCTCGTCCCGAACCTAAACTCCAACCCTGTTCAAACCCGGGCGCGAGGCCCAACCTGGGAAGCACGAGGGCGGAGGTAGCGCCAAGGGAGCTTGGCGTAGGAGCCCACCGCCGCGCAGCCTCCGCTAGGACGCCCGCCCGGCCCGCAGAGCGGCTGCCGGGTCCCGCGACCCCGGTCCCTGCGGCGGGGGCGGCACAGCGCGGCGCGCAGCCTGGTCTACCCGGGGAGCCCAAGCCGATCCGGGGATGGGGACGCTGCGAGCCGCCCCTGAGGACACCGGGGCACCCCACCCAGCCCCCGCTTCGGCAGGGAAAAATAAAACGCTGCAACAAGTGGGAGGCGCAGCCCCCAGGTCGGGGCGGCCGGCCCGGGCGCCCGCACAGCCGCAGCGACAGACGCAGGGACCCAGGGCTCGCCCACCCCGCGCTCCGCCCGCACTCACTGCTGCACTCGCCGTCCGCGCACAGCTTCTGCTCCGAGAAGCGCCGGCCCGCGCCCGGGTCCCGCAGGCCCCGCACCCGCCACGGCGCCCCGGCCGCGAGCAGCCAGAGCAGCAGCGCCGGCGCCGCAGCCATGTTGTGGTCCCCGGGCCGCGCCGCGGAGGGGAGGCCGGCGGGCGCGGGCGGGGCGGGGGCGGGGCGGGGAGCGGGGCGCGGAGGGCGGCGCCCGCGAAGGTTTGAGCCGTTCCCGGCTGACACGTCGGCAGGGCCTCCGGGAGGGACACGGGGACTCCAGGAGGAGGGAGGGCGGCGAGCGCGGCCTTCCTCCCAGGCCTTCTCCTCCCGGGCGCTGCCGTGGCAACCGGGACTCTACATCTTCCCCCTCGTCCAATCGCCTCCCTCTGCAGTCGCACCTCCGCGCGATTCCATTCGCCGTTCACCCGGCTCTGAGCACTTGGGTCCCCAACCCTGCGCTATCCCGCCCGACAGGTCCATTCCAGCGCCTTCTCGCAGCGTCTGATGTCTGATCCCTCCTGAACCAGCCCACCGCCCCCTATTCTTGGTGTGGTCCTTCCTTTTACGAACTAGGAAATCTCACCTGTAATTTGCCACTGTCAGACTCTGGTTCCAGGCTCCCTGCCCTTCAGACTCCAGGGGTTCCTTGGGGCCCCATCCCATGATCCCATCAGATTAGAAAGAGGAGAGGTGAGCGCAGTGGTGGGCTGAGGGTGTAGATTACAGCCTGTGGCCTGCTCGGTCTTTAAGGGGGGAGAAGGGGAGATAGAGGTGGATAATGGTCCTGGGGCTGAGATCTTGAGATTTCTAGATCTATATCCAGAGGGAAGAAGTAATTTAATTCAACACAAATGTGATGAGCTTCCATTTTATGCTACCATTTCATGCCAGACACTGGATAAAGCACTAGGGGGGTGTGGGAGAGGATGGGAGTCAAAGACAGAATGTCTGGCCCTGTGTAAAGATGTCCACAACTTAGTGAGAATCAACTGACAAAAAAAGAACTAAAGAATAAATGTCAAGAGTAGGGAAAGCTAGTTAATAGCAGCTAACATTTATTGAGTGCCTTCTTTTTTTTTTTTTTTTTTTTTGAGACAGAGTCTCACTCTTGCCCGGCTGTGGCATCAGCCTAGCTCACAGCAATCTCAAACTCCTGGGCTCAAGCAATCCTTCTGCCTCAGCCTCCCGAGTAGCTGGGACTACAGGCATGCACCACCATGCCTGGCTAATTTTTTCTCTATATATTTTTAGCTGTCCAATTAATTTCTTCCCATTTTTGGTAGAGACGGGGTCTCGCTCTTCTTCAGGCTGGTCTCAAACTCCTGAGCTCAAACGATCCACCCGCCTCGGCCTCCCAGAGTGCTAGGATTACAGGCATGAGCCACCGCGCCCGGCCTATTGAGTGCTTTCTTTATGCTTAGTTGTTATTCTAAGGTCTTTATACATATCAATTCATTTAATCTTCAATAGTACCTCTGAGTAGGTACTATTACAAACCCCATTTTAGAGATGAGTAAATGAAGGCATTCACACACCTAGTGAGTGATGGAGCTAAGATTCACACCTGGGAGGTAACCTCCCTTTTAATCATAGCCCCGTAAAGCCTCCATCAGGCAACAAGTAATTTTTGTACTTTCTTTCTGGCTAGGGGGGCAAAATCCCATTTAAATCACAGTATAATTGGATTATCTTTATGTGAAATTTTTTAAAAAAGGGCACGATCAAGTCAGCCCAGGGAAGAGTGGCTGCAATGCTCTGGCCCTGGTTACAGCACTTTGCGCTGGTGTCCAGAGGCTTCTCACTGCGGTCTCTGTCAAGGTTATTCATCAACCTTGAACAACAAACCCATCAGTTAGTTTCCCAAACTAGTTGTATTCTTTAAAAGCAAAAGGAAAGAATGTGGCCCATCTATGCAAACCATAACATTGAATAAAAAGTTGGTAAATATGCTCACAAATTTTTGTCTGCGGGAGCCATGAGAGGTCCCGTTGGTCCAGTGTCATTCCAATGCTGTCTGGAAAGAATATACTGTAGGTAAAGTCATAGACAGGCACTCTCCCTCCAAATTGTAGTGCCATTCATTCATTTCTTTTCTAGGTATTCTTTTTTTAAATCTTTTTTTAAATAATAGGCATCTCTAGCCTAATATGTTGAAAACCTAACTATTTTTTCCTCTCAAACTCTGCTCCTTTCAATCTTCCCCATCTCAGATAGGAATAGGAATGACAATTTGATTCTTGTTTTCCAAGTGCTGAATCCAAAAGCTTCAAACCATCCTTAATCTCTTTTCTCTCACACCCCAAGACCAATCCATGAGACAATCCCATGTCTTTAATAGCTTTATTGAAGTATAATTGGCCTATAATAAAATGCACATGTTTAAAGTGTACAATTTGATGTTTTGACATACATATGCACCCATGAGACCATCCCCACAATCAAGATAATTAACATATCCATTATCTCCAAAAGAGTTCTTATGTTCCTCTGTAATCCCTCTGCTCTCCCAGCTGCATTTTTACGACCTTCTGTCTTTATAGGTGGGTTTGCATATTCTAGAATTTGATATCAATGAAATCATACAGTATATATTCTTTTTTTGTCTGACTTCTTTTACGCAGCATAAACATTTGAAATACATCCAGAATCTGACCACTTCTCCCCATCTCCTATGCCAGCAGTGCAGGTGAAGCCACCATCTTCTCTTACCTGAATGACCGAAATAGCCTTCTCATTGTTCTTGCTTCTGCTCCTACCCTCCCCAAATCTATTGTCTCAATAGCAGCTACAGCGACAGGTTTTTTTTTTTTTTTTTTTTTTTTTTTTAAATAGAGACGGGGGATCTCGCTCTTGCTCAGGCTGGTCTTGAACTCCTGAGCTCAAACGATCCATCCATCCATCCGCTGGCCTTGGCCTCCCAGAGTGCTAGGTTACAGGCGACAGTTTTATAATGTAAATTTGGTCTTGTCCCTCCTCTGCTCCAAACCTTCCTGTGGCTTCCCATTTCCAAGTAGAATGCAATGACTTTATTATGGACTGCACTGTCTTATTTAATTTTACTTCTCTTCTCTCTTACCCCCGTTTCCTAACAGTCTTCCCTTGCTCTGGTAGTTCCACTCAAATAGACCAAGCCCATTCTTTTCTTTTTTTTTTTTTTGGAGACAGAGTTTCACTGTGTTGCCCGGGCTAGAGCGCCGTGGTGTCAGCCTAGCTCACAGCAACCTCAAACTCCTGGGCTCAAGCAATCCTTCTGCCTCAGCCTCCCGAGTAGCTGGGACTACAGGCATGCACCACCATGCCCGGCTAATTTTTTCTATGTATTTTTAGTTGTCCAGTTAATTTCTTTCTATTTTTAGTAGAGACGGGGTCTCGCTCTTGCTCAGGCTGGTTTCAAACTCCTGAGCTCAAACAATCCTCCTGCCTCGGCCTCCCAGAGAGCTAGGATTACAGGCGTGAGCCACTGCGCCCGGACCCAAGCCCATTCTTAAATTTACACTTGCAATTTTCCCTCAACCTGGAATAATTCTCCAAATAGTCTACTAGTTAGACTAGTTAGTCTGTCTGTCTAACTAGTTCCCTCACTTCATCATGTCTCTGTAACAGTGTGGTATCTAACAAGCAAAGCCTTCCCTAACCACTGTACATAAAATAGAACTCCCTCCTATGACTATCTACCCCGCTTCCTTTTTCTTTAGAGCACTTACCACCTACCTTACATTTATCTGTTTGACTGCCTCCCACCTCAAATATAAGCCCCATGGAAGCAGGGAATTTGTTTGTTTTGTTCACTACTATAACATTAGTGCCTAGGAAAATGTCTGGAATGTAATGAGGAACTCAATAAATGATTTGTTGAGTGAACCCATGATTCCTCACATATTATAAATATATTACACTATTAACCTTAACAAAGCCTCCATATATAGATAGCACAGAGAGGGAATATGACACGAGAACAAGGCATTTTGCCTTCCCCTCAGCGGCATCCTGGACACCAGAAACAGAACCTGGAACATATCTGTTGCTGAATGAAGGCATGTTTATTGCAGAGGGAGTGGATGAAATAGCACTGTACTTTTTTACTACATACCTACCGCCAGATCTTAAAGCAGATAACAAAAAGTGATTTTAATTTTTCTTGTTTCTATTTAGACTAGAATCAATAACAATTCATTGGTGGAAAAAGCAAAATTCCAAAATGTCCTAATGGAATATTACTTTTCTTATATTCACCCTGATTAATATTCAGGTGCACTTTTATAGGAAAGTCCAGAATCTTAATTACTGAAGAACTGGCTACTTAGTTTGTAGATTTTCCAGAGTTTTGATTTATCTGCATTCTTTTTAAAAAGTATTCCCCTAAAAAGATATTGACAAGCCTGGTGGATAGTCAAAAAAATTTCTCAGCTCATTACAATGAAGGTGCTGGTGGTAGCTCTTCCTACCAACATATATGTAACTAGTGAGTGAATCAGCTTTCTTTTTTACTCATAGCATTTGAATATGTGGCATTGATGCTTAACATAAACTATAATCCCAAGTATATTATTTGTTAACACCTCAAATGGAATTTTCACTGGGTAGGGGCTGAGTAAGAGTTAGAAGTAAATTAGTTTGGGGTGGAGGAGACATAGAAATGGAAGATATGGAGGGTTTCTGATCTCAGGGAGTTTGCAGTCAAAATGAGAAAACAAGACAAATATATTGGAGACAAATAGAAGGCAGCCTGATAGCATGTCTCATTGTAAACCTTAACCTGCAGCCTTGGGGCTACATGTGGCCTTCTGGATCCTTGAGTGTGGCCTTTTGACCGAATCCAAATTTTACAGAACAAATCCTTTTAATAAAGGGATTTATTCTGTGAAGTTCAGATTCAGTCCAGGGGCTGCACTTAGGGATCTAGAGGGCCACATGTGGCCTTGAGGCCACAGGTTCCCCACACCTGTATGGGATAACGGACAAGATTTACCTTTTCCCATTAAACATCTAAAAAACTGGACAAAATATATGAAACAACAGTTTTCAGACACTGGACAATAAAGCAATATGGAGCAGCAATCCCTAAGATAAAGTTGAGCATATGAGATGAATGCTGTGATTGCCCCAGCTTATTCCCTGGAGAGAGTTT